ATCCGGGCACCTGGACAGCCCGGACCGATCGAATATACCCAACCATAATTTAATAAAGCAGCAATTTCAGTCTTCTTACACACTGATGTTGTGCATCCATTTGATCGACCGACCATAGTGGTAGTGGGAGCTCCATAAACTAAACAAACACATATCCAGGACATGCATGCTTGCATAGACCCCATATATACTTATATAATTCATTCATTCACTCGCCTCAAAGTTTCTGAAAAGACACCATGGAATGGAAATGTACATCTTCGCATTTCCTCTGTCTTGGCAGCAACTTTTTCTCTCCTTGCTTGCTTTTGCACTCTTTTCTTTTGTGTTTCTCTTTTCCCCTGCTTTTCTGGAGCTGATCTGCTCGGTGGAGGAGGCATTCTTACATCACTGGAGTAGCCTTTCTTTTTCTTTGTTCCCTAGCTACATGATCGATTTCTCTCCTCTCTTTTTTCAGTGCATCAAATTAAGTGTTGACTACTGGGTGCAATACAGCAATGAATTACTACTATATTACTATGTAACTACTAGTAGTATATACTCTCTATATACCAGCAATAATGTACTTATCCAGAAAATGTCCGCATGCATGCATCACTACTAGAAAAAGCATTTTTGCAGGCGGACAAAACTAATTTTCGCAGGCGGGAGAGAGATCCGCCTGCACCACAATGACAGCGAAATTCATCCATCTTCGCAATCGGGGCAACGGCCCACCTGCGAAAATAGAAGAAACGAACAAAAAAAAATGCCGGCCCGCACCGGGAGCCGCCGCCATCTCTCCACGCCGTCGGCACCACCGCCGGCCTCCCCCCTCCCTCCTTCGGCCAGATCTAGGAGGGAGGGGGGAGTGGAGCCGCCGCCGCCGCCTAGCCCGCGCCGTCGCCGCTCCACGCCGTCGGCGCTGCTGGCAGCCTCCTCCCTCCCTCCTCCGGTCAGATCTGGGAGGGAGCGGGGCAGGGGAGCCGCCGCCGCCGCCCGGTCGGCGCCGCCGCCGCCCGGCCCACGCTGTCGTCGCCGCCGCCGGCCTCCCCCCTCCCTCCTCCGGCCAGATCTAGGAGGGAGGGGGGAGGGGAGCCGCCGCCGCCGCCACCTAGCCCGCGCCGTCGCCGCTCCACGCCGTCGGCGCCGCCGCCGGCCTCCTCGGCAGCACCGCCTCGCCTGCTCGCCGCTGCCGCCCTTCGCCGCCACCGCCCGCCACCACCGCCGGGAGCCGCCGCCGGGGAGAGTAGAAGTGAGGGGAGGGGAGAGGAGGAGAGGGGAGGGGAGGGGCCGGTGGTGAGGAGAGGTGAGGAGGAGAGGTGTGGAGGGGAGGACTGAGGACTTAGAAAAAATTGCCGCCCGCGTGTATTTATATTAAGTCTATTTTCGCAGGCGGACCACTTAAGCGGCGCCTGCGAAAATAATTTTCGCAGTCGTCCCTTAAGTGCTCCGCCTGCGAAAATCTATTTTATTTTCGCAGGCGGACATTAAATTTCACCCCGATTTATATTTTCGTAGGCGGTCATTTGGCTCTAAGGGTCATGTCCGCCTGCGAAAATGAGACCCCCACGTTGAAAAAAATGTTTTTTCTAGTAGTGCATGTAGCGTTAACTTAGGGTGTTTTTGGTGGTAAGGATATGCCTGTATTGGATATGACCATTCAAGTTTGGATGATGTTTGGTTGGAGGGTAGGATTGATCATTGATGAGGCGGCCTAGAAAAGAAAATATTCTGATCTCGTTATTCTGAATGGAGGGATTAGTCTCCTTTTGCCTGATGAAGCCATATCCACCTTGTCTAGGATGCCAAGTACAAGGTTAGTGAGTTCACTGGAGTGCTATTAGTAATACTAACATATTTTGCTATTAATGTGTACTTAGTATGGCAAGATTAGTGTTAAAAATTGTTAATTTGTATGACTCACTATTATTGAGTCAATTAAGATATTATAATTAGTTAATTACTTTCATCCCATCCATTCTCATCCTATACCAACCAAATAAAAAACTTGAATAAATCCTCATCTTAAAAATATGGATAGCTATATCTCACCCCTTTAAGAAAAAGACCCTTAACTTGCTTCTATGACTAATTTAGATCCTCCACGGTTCTGCACATACAGTACTGCACACTGACATGTGAGCCCGAGGGTATGTGAGGCCTACATGTCAGTGAGCAGTATTGCAGAGATTACCCTCACTCTTCTATGACGGCCTCATCTCTGTCGAACTGCATGAACTTGGCATCGCTACAGCTATTCAATTTCAGACCTGCGATAGCCAATTGATAACGAGTTCTAAGAGCGAACAGTGGCTGGCATCCCTTTTTCTTCAATTGCAATAGGACTGCAACATCATATCATCGCAGCTATAGCATTGATCTGTTCCGATCAAGACTACAAAATCAAAAGTAGCGAATAAAATCATGCACATGCGGTGCCTGAATGTGAATGAACATAGAAATGGCGATTTTATCTGATGACAAATCTCCCATCAGGTAGTCTTGATCAGAGAATCAAATAAAGGACGTGTTGGAAGACATTCCGAGGCCCAACAACTATACATGCACTGCAGCACTGCGCTGGGGTAAATGTACCAATATATGCAAGGCATATAGCTATAGCTTTCTTCATTCGGTCGATCGATCCATGCAGATTAACTGGTTCATTGATTAATTCTTGAGAAGATCTAATGCATCGATCGATCGATCATTTGAGGATCATATACTGTAATAATTAATATCGATCACTGTCTATGTGTCAATCTTGAGCAGTATGGTATGTCACCGGCGGTCGGATGCAGGTCAGGTTAGTGGAGACGAACGGAGTGGCGCCAAACGAGAGAAAGAGATGCGATGAAATAAAGAGGCCAGTCCAGGCACTAGCTATAGTTCGATCCTGCTGTTTCTTCACTATTCTCATCGAATCGATTGCAACATCAAAAATAAAGTGACTCGACACTAGCGATCGATGATCGATCGATCGATTTACTCCCTAGTGTAGTACGCGCGCGTGCACACATCAACATTTCACTTCATGCACAGCAGTACCAGCACTAGTACATTTTTTTCCAAAGCATCATGCGCAGTAGTATAATGTTCATTATTAGGCGTACTATTCCATTTGGACGCTTTGATTAATTTGGAGAGGCTAGCGGCAGGAGAGATTGTGTTGGTATATAAAGCGAATTGTTCTTCTTTTTTTCTCATCAGCATCAGGTTAAGCTTCTAGGTTGGACTGATTGGTGCATGCCACTCAATATGGTATCAAAGTTACAGGCTTCCTATCCCACACAAGGGAGTGTTGGTATATAAACCACTTCTATTCCACACAAGAGGCTTGAGGGGGTATCACGTGAGAGAGAGTGTTGGTATATAAAGTGAATTGTGTCATATCTATACTACTTTAAAAGAGAATAGTGGTTTTGTCAATCCTCACCTGCTCAGCTGCAAGAAAAAAAAAGAAATAGGTCTATAGTAATCACATTTCAACCATCCCCAACCAACTCTACTTTTTTTTAAGAAAAAAACAATGTTTGGTCAAAGAGTCTACATGTTACAACCTCATTGGTCACCAATAAGTCATTTTGGTTTATTTGGGAACAAAAAAAAATTTTGAAACAGCAGACGGTAGGAGTTCTACCGGATATATTAGAAGAAGAGAGTTGACCTTGTTTATAAGGAAAACCATACAACTACATAGTTTGCTAAAGGGAAACCGACAAAAACCTCACACAGAAGACACGAAAAGCATGCGACAAAACTACGAATTATGGTAGAACTTTTATATATGAGTTTTTAATGACCTAATAACCAATGCTGAAAAAAAAACTATGTTGCAAATATCTTAAAATAAACTTTGAAAGATCAAAATTTGACTTTGGTTTTAGTTTATAGTGGGTTTGTTGGAACCATGCCACCCTATATTTACAAAATTTGAGATATGCCACCCGTATCTCAATGACATGTAGGACCCACATGAGTCAATGACATGTGGGTCGGGGTGGCATATCACAAATTTTGCAAAATTTGTGTGGCATGGTTCAAATTGTCCCTTTAGTTGGGTTTGTTAGTTTAGTTTATTAGGATAATCAATGGGACTTTTAGTAACAAATATATGTAGCAACTAAAAGATGATATATGCAGAAAATAATGGTTATAATGGGTTATCCTTGCTATAGGATTGTTTTATTCTCCTCAACTTGCCGTGAATTACTCGAAAGGGGTAGTTCACACACTACTAAAAGAGCATTTTCTCAAACGGTCAAAACATATTTTTATATGTGTGGTTGAGTCACCTGTCTGCCCGAAAGTGTCAGCGAAAATCACTATTTTTCCATGCGGGTGCTTATATCGTCTGCACGCAAAAATAATAATCCAAAAAATTTTTTTCCCCAAAATCAAAAACCTAGGTGCAGTCCACCGCCGGGTCCAGGCGAAACAGTCTGGCTGGAAGTTCCTAGGACCCGGAACATCCAACCAGCCCTCTCGGTCCAGCTGAGAGAGTTGGTAGGAAGTTCCAGTCCAGTTTGCCAGGAAGTTTCGACTTGTATTTAACAGTTTCAATTGGTGAAATTTTGAGAAATGCTTGTTACGGAACTGTAGGCTTTCATTCACCACCATATATATTTCGCCGTTTTTCCCCTGTAGAGCAAGCATACAGCAATTCACAGAAAGTGAAATCCAAATTTAAAAACCAAAAGAGAGAAAAGAAAATAATCTGGCTTTAAACATTACACACACTATTTGCAACCAAATTTGTCATGTTCTTTTTTTTTACATAGAGTAATATTTGGTTTGTATGTTTGTAAAGTGATATATATATATATGGTGTGGTGATACAATTACATATAATCTCTTTGTTCTTTTAAAAAAAAAGTCGTAAATATGTGAACATCGGTTTGAAGGTGTATAAACGGATATTCGGAGAGTACGTCTCTCATGAGAGATGGCGCCTCAGTGAAGTCTGAAGACGTACTCTTTTCTCTGCGCGCTAGCTGCTCTATATATGTGACGCTGACGTTCCTCATCTCCCAAGCTGCATGCTAGCTAGCTAATTAAGCTCCCCAGCTCGATTCCTAGCTATCTAATTAGCTAGCGAGGGATCGATCGAGAGCTTCTCCTTCCGGGCTTCCGGCCAGCCGGCGGGGAATAGCTAGAATCAGAATGGCGGCGGAGGCGGATGCACGGAAGGTGTGCGGGTTGCCGGAGCGGGTGCAGCTCCATGGGGCGATGCTGGCGCTGCAGTTCGGCTACGCGGGGTTCCATGTGGTGTCTCGGTTTGCCCTCAACATGGGCATCAGCAAGCTCGTCTTCCCCGTCTACCGCAACATCATCGCCCTCATCCTCCTCGTCCCCTTCGCCTATTTCCTCGAGAAGTATATACTGTCTGCTGTTTAATTTCTGAATTGAACCTCCGTCCTCCTAGAGTTTCAGTCAGTTGTAATCTCGATCGATCGATCGATCTGTAGTGTAGGTAGCTAACAATTAATTAATGTAGACGAACGTGGATGATGGATGCAGGAAGGATCGGCCGCAGCTGACGCTGAGCTTCGTGGTGCAGTTCTTCCTGCTGGCGCTGTGCGGCATCACCGCCAACCAGGGCTTCTACCTCCTCGGACTCGACAACACCTCCCCGACCTTCGCCTCCGCCATCCAGAACTCCGTCCCGGCCATCACCTTCGCCATGGCCGCCGCGCTCCGCATCGAGCGCGTCCGCCTCGACCGCCGCGACGGCGTCGCCAAGGTGCTCGGCACGCTGGCCTGCGTCGCCGGCGCCTCCGTCATCACGCTCTACAAGGGCCCTACCATCTTCGGTCCCAAGCTGCAGCTGCAGGCGGTGGCGGAGGTGCCGTTGAGGGCGGCGATCGCCGGAGAGGGGAAGAACTGGACGCTGGGCTGCGTGTACTTGATCGGGCACTGCCTGTCGTGGTCGGGATGGCTGGTGCTGCAGGCGCCGGTGCTGAAGAAGTACCCGGCGAGGCTGTCGGTGACGTCATACACCTGCTTCTTCGGCGTCATCCAGTTCCTCATCATCGCCGCCTTCATGGAGAGGGACGCCGACGCCTGGGCCTTCCACTCCGGCTCCGAGCTCTTCACCATCCTTTACGCCGTACGTATCTATCTCCATTCTCCCTACGTATACGATCTCCATCTATTCACCTACGTATACGATCCATATGCATGCATTACTGCTGGTCTTTCGATTATTCCTACCTCCAAATATCAACATGCAAATTAATTAATTAATTATTTACTGATCAGCTCATCTTATGCCAACCTAATTAAGCTAGCTAGTAGTGGACAGGACTATACATACGTGCAACGATTAATTTATTAAGCTAATCTACAGCCTACTTTGTGTTAATTATATCTGCACCAGCTCATGGTCACTTTAATTTATTGACAATCATTCTGTATACTGTACTGGATTGAAAAAGGGCCGGAAATCCATATGTACACTTTTCAATAGTAGTAACTATTTTGTGACATTAGGAATATAAATACATGCTTGCAAATGTCCATATTGTATTTAATTTGTCCTGCTTTAGTTAATTAGCACTTAGTACTGGTATATATCTGTCAGTAAAGTAATGCAAGTTGATCGATTTCTGCGGCAGCAGCAGAGTATTATAGCAAGCATGGTGCAACACAGAAGCTAGCTGTACAAATGATCACTTTTTTTCCGTAGGATAACATGCTGGGTTGTACTATATAGTTATCAATCATGCCCTTAAAGTTACCTTTGGACGTTTGTTTGTCGACACACATCGCCGGCCCATAATGCATCCGACCATGTACTCCTAGCATGCATATATACAGTACACTTGGCTGGAATATATACAGTACTTACTTTTCCAATGAGGACATGTTTAGTAGGGCTTAATATAAAATCATAAATTTAACTCAAAAGTTAAGCTTGGAGTAAAGTTTTAGAGCAGCCTAAACATTACTTTACCACTCTAGTTAATTTTGTGGTAGTATTTTAGTCAACTCCGCTTTCTTTTTTAACGGAGCTGAATCTATTTGGTCGAGCTTCAGCTTCAAAAGAGGAGTTGGAGTTGAAGCTAGCCAATGCATGAATCTTCTTAAGCCAAACTAAATTGTTAACTGCTTAATTAATCAATGAAGTGCATGGTTTGCATAATGAAACTGAAGATGAGATGTGAGAGCTGATGGGGGTAGGTGGTGATGATGGATGCAGGGATTCATCGCGTCGGGGGTGGCGTTCGCGGTGCAGATATGGTGCATCGACAGGGGGGGCCCGGTGTTCGTGGCGGTGTATCAGCCCGTCCAGACCCTGGTGGTGGCCATCATGGCCTCCCTCACCCTCGGCGAGAGCTTCTACCTCGGCGGCATCATCGGCGCCGTCTTCATCATCGCCGGCCTCTACCTCGTCCTCTGGGGCAAGAGCCACGAGCGTGCTCGCCTCGCCAAGGACGCCGCCGCCATTGCCACCGACCGCGACGCCGCCCCTTGCCGGATCATCGCCGCCGGCAAGCAGTCCTCCTCCGTCACCCAGCCCCTCCTGCTGCCTACCTCCTCCTCCTCCGACAACGCCGTCTGACCGATCGATCGGTCTCTTTATTAATTACATGCGTGCATGCTTCGAGCCATTTGATCGATCGATTAGCTGCTAGTACTACAGACTTAGCTTGTTGAGAACCAAATGATGTTGATGATTTGCCTTTGCCTATGATATCGATCGACATTAAACTAGCTAGTAGCTTGCTTGTTTTGCTAGGATTTGTTTTGTTTGGATCATGCTTGTGCTTTCTTAATTTGTAACGTCGCGAGAGATTAATTGCTCAATGATGCTTGTGCTACATTTTGTATAATTAATGTACCTACATGTGTGCTTCATTGTACCTATTTTGTTTGCCTTGTGTTGTATCCTGTCCTGTTACATACTCCCTCCGTTTCAAAATGTTTGACACCGTTAACTTTTTAGCACATGTTTAACCGTTCGTCTTATTCAAAAACTTTTGTGAAATATGTAAAATTATATGCCTACATGAAAATATATTTAACAATGAATCAAATGATAGGAAAAGAATTAATAATTACTTAATTTTTTTAATAAGACGAACGGTCAAACATGTGCTCAAAAGTCAACGGTGTCAAACATTTCGAAACGGAGGGAGTACATCAGTATATACACTTTCTTTACTATATCAATGATCAATCCAGTCTGCTTGTACTCACTCGCCAAAAAACAAAGAAAAGGCCGGCTTGAGCCATGCCTCCAATTGGGCCGCTCAATTGAAAAAGAAAGTGGCCGCCAAGATGCATGCACTACGCTGGAATTGGGCCCAATTCCCAGGGAATTACAGCCTGGGCCCAAATATAATGGGCCAACGCGTCTGTGTAGCCAGCCTCACAACATTGAGTCACTAAAGATCTCTACAACACTGAGCATTATTATTTGAGCAGCAGCAGCAACAGAAACCATCGATCTCCCATGGTTTTTAGCCTGTACACTGCAGTAATAAGTGTGCCATGTCATCCTCCTCCAGCCGCCCAATAACAATCATTGGCCGTCCTGGATTTCCATGGACCCACCTGGAAGCGAGACACTCTGACCATCTCTTCCCTCCAAACTACAGTAGGAGTAGTAGCAAATGCCAGCACTTTACTATCATGCAGTAACATGCACGCAACAGCCTTACAGATAGATAACCTGAACTTGGACCCCTCCCCTCTCTGAATCTCTCTGATTGATGCATATGCAGATGCAGGCAAGCAGGCAGGAGTTGCAAACAATGTGGCTAGGATGCAGCACACACCAAGCAATGGATGGATGGATGGCTCAGGATCCCCACCTGTAACTGCATCAGTACAAATGCACACAGACATTCAACATGCTCCAAAGACAACCAAACAAGGGCTAGCTAGCTCAATACCTGATCTATAGCTTTATAATCAAACAAAAGTCCAGTTTCAGCTTCATTCCATTTCCATACAATGGCACTGAACATCCGGTGCTGGACTATCTCCAACTAATCATACTACATAAATACCCTGAGCATAGTATCATACACAAAACAACCTGAATGATTACTTCATCTGCTTCTTCCTGGCCAACTGGCAAAACCATATGCATGGAGTATTTACTTACATTCATACCTCAACAAAGAGGATAACAAGCTACCAAGAAATCATCAAAATGCTTGCTATCCAATATGCTGGAATGAAGCAACATTCCTAACTAGCTTCACCCCAACAGCTTGTGTTACATGTAATCTGCCAGGTAGTTCAACTGGACAACAGGCAAGGTTTAACAAGAACAAAAGCACTGTCAGATCCGGCTGACAGTCTGCAGCTAATGTAAACCTCAGATCTGGGCCACTGTGTCAAGATTTTGCCAAGCTGGCTGAGGCTAAGGAAAAAACATAAGCCAATGGGTGATGCTTTTACCGTGTAATGGTGCTGAGTTACAGATAGTGTAGCAAAAGAAGTGTGTAACCATACAGGTATGTTACTGTCACAAGTTTATTCTTGATTGATTGAGATTGAAAAGAAAAAAATCTATCACTGTCAGGTTTGCTCCTTAAGTCATCAAAGAAATAAAGCTAAATTGACACAGAACGGGACAGTGCTGAAAATTTGAGGCAATAAATTCTTCGTGAAGGTGTAATAAATTGATTGCTGAATATCACACATGTCATAAAATGAATAAAATTGCACTTTGAAGCTACTCCCAGAACTATTGAGACACACACCAAATTACAATGAGCCAGCTCACAGAAAAACAAAAGGAAAACAAAATCACAGCCCCTTACAGTGATTCAGTGCTGTCATCACTCTCTTCACACAAGGGTGAAGATTGGATTATAACCCGAGCTCCAGAAGCAAGCCTGCAGTGATTTTTTTTTGTCAGTCTTTAGGAAAAACAAAAACTACTGGGCCAACAAATGGAGAAAAGAACGTGAAACAACTCAACTTTCTTCTATCTTGATCACCTTCTCCTTTTCCTCATGGAATGATTCCACCCTTGAAGAAGATAGTTTACCAAGTGATAAATCAGTCATCCTATTGCTTGCACTTTTTGATGAACCAAGTGGTGAGGATCTAGTACTACACTCTTGTCGACTACAGCTGTTCCTCACATCCGAGTTGGGAGACAATATTGTTCCACTTCTAGATTGCTTACATGATATCATTTTGATTGTCTGTGGCAGACATCTGAAGCTGCCTGATTCAGCCATACTTTCCATGTCCCTGTTGGAATCCGATACTCTACAGACTCTGACATGTTCAAAAGAGATGCTGGGTCAATGGCTAATATAACTAACCATCCTTTCGAGCAAGGTAACATAACACTTTAAAAGGTGTATGCTCATTCTAGCAAGGAGACTTAATGAGTTGGATGTAGTTAGAACGCCAAATGTGAACGCCTAAAAGGTAACCGTACAATGAAATAATTGTCATCTGTTGAACTATCTTATTCTTGGGTTCTATTTTCTTCTTTCCTGCCTTCAGTACAGGACACCATAGACAGTACAAGATGGACATTGAGAAATTAACTTATGCTGTACAACACATTGAAATGTTCAACATTTAGTGCAACTTACCAATGTTAGCTCAGGCGTTCAATGAGAAAGGCCACTGTATCAGTAAGATACGACATCATAAACTACAGTACTTGACATGTAACCGTGAATTGAATTGCATATTGCCAACACCATAGTCCAATATCAGAATAAGCTAGACGATGACATACCTGTCCTCACTGCAAGATGATGAGCGTTTAAGTGTTGGTGTTCCTCCTTTCCCTGACTCATCCTGCTTCTTTGTCTCGACCAAGCTTCCACTGAAATATTCTGATTCTGGAATTCTCATTCCAATTGTTCTAGCATTACAAGGAATGTTGTCGAGGTGTCGCAATGCCAAAGGAGTAGAGAACATTGGAGAAGGAAACTCAACTTGTGTAAACCGAGGCCTGTATGTTGGGATGAGCCCAAAGCTCCGGTGATCCTTAACAGAAATAGAGCCACAAGTGATCAGCTGCATGAGCAAATTGGCAGGCTTGAACTTTACACCCATTGGGGCAAAGAGATGTTCCTCCTCTAGCGCCCTAAAGCTACTCCTCCTACTGGCTTCGGCCCTTATCAGGGACTCCAAGGTCTCAACTCTACCACCTGGAGAAGCGTCAGAGGAGCACACCGGTGGTGATTCTCGAACAACTCCAGGACCCTTTGGAGATGGTTGTGTGCTCCTTGGATGACATTCCTGAATCTCAGAATCTGATGTACTATTCTCTGTACATACTCCTGCCATACGAGAATTCCTCTCAGGAGCATCCCTCTCACTGTCGTCGGTCTGTGTGGATGCGTCCTGGGCTCCGATGGGCTTGCAAACTCTGTACTCTAAAGGTCCTGGAGAGCTTGCCTCTGATAATGGAGGAGCAACTCTTCCTGCCGGTTCAGGGGACATGTTTCCAGATGAGCCAGAGCGCGGAGTCCGGCATTGGTCATCCTCACGGTTAGTAGAAGCTGACGATGAAGGCAGCAACGTGGCCGATTGTGCCTGCTGCTGTGGCTGTGGTGTAGGGGGTGGTGGGGAGGCCTCTTTTGTAACAGCAGATGGAGATGATGAGGAGGAGCACCCTTCTTGCGATCCTCGCGAATGAGGGGACTCTTCTGGAGGGTGCTTGAGGGTCTCAACCTTGGGCTCGCCAACGCCATTCTGCTGTCGATCTGAGACATGGCAAAATTGGAGCAAGATCTGATGAGCAGTTGAATTCAGTAGCCTGTGACTGTGATTGAGGCAATTCGTCGAACACAAACCTGGCGGTGATCGGTCGAGGAGCTCGGAGCCCTTGAGGATGTACTCGTTCCCTTGCGCGGGCAGGACGAGATCGTCCTCGGATAGGTCGTGCCACACGAAGCCATTCTTGTAGCTCCTGCTGAAGCTACACGGATCAGACCAAACCAAGAGGAAAGGGGGAGATGTTTAGTCCCCCAAAAGAATTTAGATAGATATACCTCTTGCACGACCATGAGTACATTGCCGCCATGCCCTTCCCTCGCAGCACGTTGAGGCGGTTAATCACATCTGCATCAACGCCTCCCGCATCATTGGTAGGGATCGAAAAGGGGAAAAAGAAAAAAACTGAAGCTTGAACAAGAAAAAGAGAAGGATACAGACCTCGCAGGTAGAGGCCGTCCGGTGAGGCGAGTGGCACCTCGATGAAGTGGGGGTGTTCGAGATGGCGATTGCGGCAGAGGTAGTAGACGACGGCCACCCTCTTTGAGGAGGACGGGGAAGGGGGCGGGGGCGGCGAGCGCAGGTGATGAGTCTTGCCCGGTGGCTCGACCCAGACCTTGTTGCGTCCAGGGCTCGCGGTGGCGGCGCGACGGCGCGTCCTCGTGCCACCGCCCTCCATGCCTGGTCGGATCAAAGCCAAGGCATGGGCAAATGGGAGGGAAGGATGATCTGATCAAACCCTGGCCTTGATTGATTCACAAAGCTACTAAGCTAGTAAGGTGATTGGGGATGGGGGAGACTGAGAGCGCGAGCAGGGAGGGAGGAGAGGAGACCGCACTCTCCAATAATTAATGCATCAAATGTAGTAGGAGGAAGAGGAGCCAAGCTGAAGCTGAATCTCTAGTGCTGATTGCTCAAGCCAAGCCGGCACTGTTTGTGTTAGGTTGTGTCGGGCTTTAGCTTTAGCTGCTGCTGCATCTCAAACTACATCAAAGCTGCTGCATTACTGCTGGTTGGTAGCACTAACTAACTAACTAACTAACAGCGAGAAACTTTCAAAACCGGCTGGTCGCAATTGGAGAAGAAGAACAAGATTGGCTACTACTCCAGTAATTTGGCATTTTGGCAGTGAAAGTGATGCGAGAGAGGTCACAAGCAGCTACATCAGTTGGTTTGAGTGCTTTCTTCATGGGCTTTTTGTCTGCTCCTGCTGCTTGCTTGCTTTCTGTCTGTCTGCTCTCCCCTTTCCCAATTCCATTCCACTGCTAACTCACATTCATCATCAGAGATTCAGTTTGAGGGGTTTAGTTACTGTTTTTTCATGGCAAACGGAAATTAGTTCACATGGCAGCGTACAGAGGTATAGTACAGATACAGTAATATGTATTTCAAGTCAGCCCTACTGGATTGGAGTACTACACATGGCAATGCTAGGATCTAAACCAACACACACAACACAGGCTGGGTTATTACCCTTGTTTTACTAGTTGGCATCACGCCGTGGGGCTCGTGGGCACCGCTGTCTCCGATTTATTACTACTCTGGCTTCCTCAGTTTTCATGTGTTCGCGTTCGATGATCTGTGAACGTACAGTTCAGTTTACCTGACTGAATACCGTTTTCCCATCTACCTCTCTGCTCTCCCTAGTAGAGGATTTATTTCTACTTGTTCTAGTACTTGTGCTTGTTTGGTAAAGAAGCTAAGCAAAAGCACAGGTTGGTTGTCGATTCCACTGCATGCCACATGGGGTGCAAAGTGAAAGCAAAGCAAACCAAAGCAGAGGTGGTAGTAACAAGTAAGAATGCAAGATGCATGGGCGATTGAATTCTGTCTGACTGACAGCTATAGCCTGTTTTTTGTTTCTCTGGTTATTAATCTCTTTGCCAACCTTGTTGTTAATGTGATCTCTTCTTTAACTACTAGCTTTATTCCACTGACTGACATCCATGTAGCTCCTTTTAACATGTAGCTAGGTAGCTCCCCTTTACTTTAAACTGTAGTGGAAGCCCACTGATGCCTGCATCTAGTAAGCCTTCAGCATTGAGCAACATGGAGGACAAACTAAAATGGGGCAGCAAGACAAACTGGAAGGACCAACGCTAGTCCTCCTACTACATGCATCTTGGTACACGTAGATCTGAAAACTCATCATGGATGATAGTTCTCCTGCACCTAATTTCTTTCTTGGCCTCTATCTTCATGCATCTGTCTTCTTCTCCATCTTGTAGTTTTCTTTTCTCTCCTCTGCTATGCAAGGGTATGATGCAGTGTTGTGTTGATGAGTGGGTGACTATTCGAGCTGCAAAGATTAGTTATGGACCAATGGCCCCCGTCGATATCAATTTCTTTAATCCACCACACACCGATCATTGTTCCTATTTGTATGCATTATTATGGTAGCTACTACTACTGTTGAGTGAGTCCAATCAGTCACAGAGGGAGCATTCAATTTGACAAATGCATGCAATGTACTATGGTTATAATAATGTCATCCACCGACGCTAATAACAAATAAGGAGAGTATAATACTTTCGTCTCTGAGGTGGACGCTAACAAATACTCTCCTACTACTATTAAGAACAATACTGTTCTGGATTCTACTAAATTCTAATATACATACACATTGCATCGCCATGTCCCATCATCCCATGTGTGATGTGTGTAATGTATAATGATATTCCTGGAGAAGTTAGAGTGCATGTCTGCTTACTATACGTGCGTGCAATTAGGCGCGCGATACTAGTTCATTTTTCTTTCTTTTCTTGAAGACCAACTACTCTCGTTCACATGCATGTGAGTGATAATCTCTAGTGTGCTACATATTCTGCTGGTATTTTTAATTAATTAATGGTAAGTTGTGCTTCCAACAATCAATTACAAAGAAAAGAAAAGAAAAGGACAAGAAAGAAGAACGCAAAAAGATCTATGCATGATTATTGGGGTTGGCATTCAGAGCAATGCATGGATGATTCGATCGATGTACGAATCATATGGGGAAGAAGACAGGAGAAGCTTAATAGCTGCAATATAATGGTAGCAGCTGCGCGCTTGTTTGGTCCTCGATTATTAATTGTCATTAATCGGCGTTCTTCGACTTAAGATCGATATGCCCAGAACATGCAAATGTATGAACGCGCATAAACAAATTAAAGCAGCAATACACCAGAGTATTATCAGCATAAGTCAACTATGTTTCCAGAAAAAAAAAAGTTTTCCATTGGACGGAAGCTACTTAAGAAGATAAGAAAGAAAGATTAATCTATCACTACTAGAGAAACGATCTTTGTTGGGTCGACCCAAAATCACAATAGTCCCTATTCCAAAAAGAACCGGGACTAAAAATGATGATCTTTAGTCCCGGTTTAAAAACCCACAGCTAGTTTATGATTTTTAGTCCCGGTTGGTAAAAATAATCTTTAGTCCCAGTTCATTTCCTGTCAGTAGGATGTCAGGGGGCCGAGGATCTTTAATCCCGGTTGGTGTGTCACCAACCGGGACTAAAGATCATCTTTATAGTCCCGGTTGGTATTACTAACCGGGACTAAAGATGTTAGTAATACCAACCGAGACTAAAATTTAATACGCAGTATATAATCCCTCTTCCTTATCCTCTCCTCCACAATCGCAACAACATCTCACACATACAGATCCCTTCCTCTTCCTCACACTTATCCTCTTCCTCACCTTCCTCAAACTTATCCTCTCCTCCTCCCCCTCCTCCCTTCCCATCCGGCCGGCGGCCGGCGGGGTCGCAGCAGCGAGCGGCGACGGCCGGCAGGGCCGTGCCCAGCGGCGGCCATGGCGGGCGGCGGCCGGCAGGCGGCCGGCGGGGCCGCGCCCAGCGGCGGCTGAAGGTGCCGCGCGCAGCGGCGGCCATGGCAGGCAGCGGCGGGCAGGCGGCCGGAGGTGCCGCGCGCGGCGGCGGCCGGCGGGGGCGCTTCTGGCGGCGGCCGTGCCCTCTCGTCTGCCAGCCGACTTCTTCCTTTTCTTTTTTTTTTTGATAATTTGTGATTGATTGAGATGTATAATCTTGTGATGGATCTGAGATGAATTTGTGATGTATTTGATTTCGGTGTATTTTTTTAGGTTTTATGATGTATTTGATTTGCTTGTATTTTTTTTTAGAATTTGTGATGTATTTGATTTGTGTGTATAAGGAACTTAAGATTTGGGATGTTACTTTGAATTGGGGATTTGGGAATATACATAGCACTAGATTCGGGAGAAAATATAGGGATTAACTCTAAGAAACAATAAAAAGGGACTAAAGATCTATTTTTAGTCCCGGGTATTTGAACCGGAACTAAAGATAGCGATATTTAGTCCCGGATTTGTACTCCGGGTTGGAAAACCGGGATTATAGGGGGTTACCAACCGGGAGTAAAAAGGCTTTCTCCACCCGTGTATATACAGTACTGATATTGTCTGATTACTGATCAGCTAAAGTTTCTGTGCATATATAGTACTCCCTCCTTCCCTAAATGTTTGACGCCGTTGACTTTTTTAAACATATTTGACCGTTCGTCTTATTAAAAACTTTTGTGAAATGTGTAAAACTATATGTATACATGAAAGTATATTTAACAATAAATCAAATGATAGGAAAATAATTAATAATTATTTCAATTTTTTGAATAAGACGAACGGTCAAATATTTTTAAAAAAGTCAACGACGTCAAATATTTGGGATGGAGGGAGTATGTTCCAACATTCACTTTAATTATTTCTGAAGCATCGATCTAATCTAAAATCCATGTATAGTCCGAGCGAGCTAGATCATGACAATTTGGCAGTATGGCACAGGCAGGTCATCTGGACGATGGACGAATGGACACATATATATATATCATCTGGAATGACTGACGATGATAAGTCGGCTGCTACTGATCCATATAATGCATGATGCCTGCCCGTGAAGATATATAAACATACTAGTTCTGCAGGACCAGTAACTCTTAATTTACTTGTTTCCAAGCAGACAGGCCGGATTAGTGGAGATTACTAGAATACTAGTATCCATGAAGATGAGAGTAATTAATTAAGTAAAAGAGCAAACTAGTTAAGCAAAAAAATCACAAGTTGTGCTGTCTGCTAGCTCGTGCTAACAGCTTGGAGCTAGTGTCCTGCCTTTTAATCTCCGCGACAAACTTCGGACGTTGCATGAGGTGAAATCGATGTAGACCATCCCAAATTAAAGAGCACTCGCGCAGTTTAGCGTAAACTTTAACTTGTTCTTCTTGGACAGTTAAACACTTCTTCAGGGGTACTATTTCCTAGGTTCTAAAATATAAATATTTCTAATTAAATTGTTTGTTTAATATTAAAATCGTGGAGAAAACTAAAGGACTGTACACTTTGTTGCTAAAATGAATACTATCAAGTTTTACCTTTACCAAAGTAACAATCCAAATATTACCAAAACTTATCTCCACTATCAAAGTTTCTTCCTCTCAGAATTTTTTTTGGTAAAGGTAATAAACTAAATGCAACCTACACATCTCAACCTTGACACTGTAAAAAATTGGTAAGGTGATTTACACATTAAAGTGAACAATCTACGATTTTGGCGTCCCATGTTCGATGAGAAATGGTTGGGGTTTAAAAGGTGGTTGCGGTTTAAGATAAAAAAAATAAATAATGAACTTTATTATTATTATTATTTAGCGAAGGGAATTTTTTAACCGGCCTACATCCAACTGGATATATGCATCATTTTTAACACATGGGCCTTGAATTAAATTTCGGCCCTGTTATTAAACGTTGTTTTCTTGTGGAATAAGTTCATCTGAGGTCTCTTAGCTTGTCAACGAATTCGATTTCCGTCTTTCAACCAGAAAACCAAATACAACGGGTCTCTCAACTGTCAAAACCGATGCAATATAGGTCCCATGGCAGTTTGGACGATGGTTTTAGCTGACATTAGGCGGCGGAGCCGCGAGATCGACCTCCTCCCCGACGACATCGTCTCCGACCTCCGTGCCTCTGCTTGCGTGGTGTGTGTGGCGGGAGACGAGGAGAGGGGTGGCGGCCGCCAGCGTTAGGCCCATGGGGGGCGGGAGTGGAGGAGGCCGCGCCTCTCCACATCGTCCTTATCTCTACCAGCAAGAGGAGGGAGCAGAGGAAAGATAGATGAAGAGAGGGGAGATGAGGAAGAAGAGGAGGGGATTGAGAATGATAGGTGAGGCCCACGTGGGCCCCACAATTTTTCTCTTTATTATTGTGTGTGTGAGATTGATATATGGTTCCCATAGGTTTTATTATTTTTAGGGATTAAATTGTCATGTAAGCGCCACATCAGATGAAGACTGAGTCAAATTAGCCACGTAGGCGCCACGTCAGCGAAAACCGCCATCCAAACCGTCATGGAACCTGTATTGTACCGGTTTTGATAGTTGAGGGACCTGTTGTATCTGGTTTTTCGGTTGAAGGATGAAAATCGGATTAGTTGACAAGTTAAGGGACCTCAGATGAACTTATTTCTTTTCTTGTCTATAAAAGAAAAATGGGCTTAGCATCTAACACAAGCCCAATAGCCATGCAGCCCAACCATCCAAATATTTAGATGTGATGCACCAAGCAGCCCAATATATACATTGCTACCGCAATGTTCATCAGGCCGTCTACTCTCTTGGCCTCTCCATCCTAAGGAAGAAGAAGAAGCAGAAGAGAAGAATATTCCAGTAGGAGTATTCTTGAACTAACTCCAAAGTGGAGTAGGAGTATACAAACAAATGTGAGTACATCATGCAACCATGTAGCTCACACGCGCGCGAAAAAAAAAAAGAAGGAAGGGGGCACTTCCTTTTAAACTAAAAATTCTCTTTTGTGTGCTGGAGGTGAAGATTTTAGAGATGTGTGTAGAATAAGGTGTCATTTTCCTCTGTGTGTTGTTGAGAATGTACTAAAATGCAGGGGCACACAACACATGGCACTTGGCAGGCACAGCCACAGCATCACCATCTATCTGCTCTGGATTGAGATACGAGGGGTGAGAGGCCTTGGACGGCCAGGATTCATCCCAGTGGCTGATCTATCTAATCTATAGTAGCCATTAAAATAGCTAAGCTAAGCTAAACCTTATCATCGTCAGGTCAGGCACTTCACCAACCCTCTGCCTCCCTTCCGCCGCCCTCCGCCGCCGCATGCAAGCCATCCTCGCCGCTGCCATGGCCGCCCAGACCCTCTTGTTCTCCGCCACCGCCCCTCCCGCCTCCCTTTTCCAGTCCCCTTCCTCTGCCCGCCCTTTCCACTCGCTCCGCCTCGCCGCCGGCCCCGCGGGCGCCGCCGCTGCCAGGGCGCTCGTCGTCGCCGACGCCACCAAGAAGGCCGTCGCCGTGCTCAAGGGCACCTCCCAGGTTGAGGGAGTCGTCACCCTCACCCAGGATGACCAAGGTCACTACCCACCTGCTCTCCTTCTTTCTCTTGTAATTTTACTGCCCTCCTCTACGACTACCAACTAGACTAGAAGCTTCATCGCCTAATTTAATTGGCCATCCACCCAAGGAGTTCCCCTCTTTCCTCAGGCTATTCGCAAAATTTTGTCTTTTTTTTTAGTGCATAACTCGAGTTTTGCTCTGTACAAACAACTGAATTCTGTTTCAGTTATCAATTTGCAATGCATCTAGCTATAATTTATTAACTGTTACCACCTCAATTACATACATACGCAAGAATTTATTCACTTCAAAATTCACACACTAGAAACTACTAATATCTGACTTCCGGCTAAAATGTCAAGATATCAGCATCAGTGTACATAACTACATTCACATCCATCAAAAGGATCCCGATTTTGTCTCTCTAATTGCTTTTTTATATCAGGTCCTACAACAGTGAATGTCCGTGTGACGGGACTTACTCCTGGACTTCACGGCTTCCACCTCGTAAGTATTGTGCTTTAAATTGGCATTTACGCTTACTGCTTACATTCCTTCATTTTCATTTATGAACATTACTCTAATTACTTTTTGCAATATATTCATGTCTGTTTTGCAGCACGAGTTTGGCGATACTACGAATGGGTGCATATCAACAGGTTGATTGTTCATGGACTCGATTATGCCTGCATATGCCAACGTTCCATAATCCACCTGATAAATCAACATTTGCCCTTCACCCTTATAAGCACCACCAAATTCCTATTTAGATTTTCTTTGAGATTGTGCCTATTTTTCAGCTTGCAAGTGTCACCTTTCCTCTGCAATGCTATTAGGGCACATGCTATCCTCGCAAATTTTGTTTTTGGCTTTTTTGAAAAAACTCAATACTGTGAAAAAAAAATTGCCGTCCAATTCACTAAGAGCACCCACAATGGTAAAGTAAGGTGCTCTCTATAAAACATGTACATCTCAGCAATAGACTAGATTAATAGTAAACCACCTCAATAGTATGTCTACATGGGTATATATAGCTCTCTAATCCATTGCCTCATTTTTCTCTATAGACTATCTCCAGGATAGTAGATAGCTTTGCTCTCTCTCTTCATTTAATCTCTTCCAAGTAGGACAATATGCTGACATGGATCTATTGTAGAGAGCCTATAGATAACCATTGCGGGTGCCCTAAGGCCTGTCTACTCAGGCCCTGTTTGGCTAATGGGACAGGGAAATCATTTCGCAACTACTAAAAGACATCTTAAAATCCTAACCATTCATTCTCACTCTTTCATTTAATCCTAACCCTTCATTCATTTCCAAATCTCAATCCCACCTCACATTTCCCATTATCCAAACACACCCTCACATTACATGGCAAAACTTTGTCCTGCAGGACCACATTTTAACCCAAACAATTTGACGCACGGTGCACCAGAAGATGAAGTCCGTCATGCGGGTGACCTGGGAAACATTGTTGCCAATGCTGAAGGTATAGCCTTCATGTAATCACTACGAATGCATTTTTGATGTTTCTCTCTAAAACAATCTTCTTGGCATACTTATTTTATGGTGTGTCTGTTTAATTGTTGTCATACAGGTGTAGCTGAGGCAACCATTGTTGATAAGCAGGTAGAGTAAAAAAGATCATACTTTTACCACTAGGAGAGTTGCTGCATTGCTGTTTTAAGTTACGAAACTCAGCTTACCTACTTTTGATGGTTTCTTCTAAATAGATTCCTCTGAGTGGCCCAAATTCTGTTGTTGGGAGAGCATTCGTTGTTCATGAGCTTGAAGATGATTTGGGGAAGGGTATGCCTAATTATATTGATGCTCAGCATTTTTTTTTCTACGAGTTTACACACACCTCATTTTTTATCCATCACTTTTAGGTGGCCATGAGCTTAGTCTCAGTACTGGAAATGCTGGTGGGCGACTTGCATGCGGTATGTTCTCTGAATCATATTTCTGTTCCATAAATGTTCTTGTAACGTTAATGTGGTACATAGGTGCACGCATGAATAAAATATTGGAACAAACATATCGTAGTAACGAACAATATTATAAACCTTGTATTTCAAAAAAATAAAAACGTCAAAACATGTTTTCTGGGGTACATTCCACTTGCTGGTGATCAGACATTGGATTAGTAGCGAATTCCTCACATGGTTATCCAAATAATAAGTTACTACAACTGTTATTCATGAAATGTTCATTTCGACTGTGAAGCGTTTGTAACTCTTCGGTCTTCACCTATAATGTAACCATTGGCTGGTGTTTGCTCTGTGAAATGTATGAAATGCAAACGCATCTGTTCTCTTTTATTCTTTTAAGGAAGAAGTGTAACTGTTTCCAACACTAATATGTTTGTTGTGCAGGTGTTGTTGGGCTGACCCCGTTGTAGGTCGCTGCAAGTTGCAGCTGAAGTGTCAGTATCGCATCCATGTCACCCTTTTTGTCATCTTCGAGCCTGAGGCAGTCGTTCTTGTATCACATGGATTTCGCAACATGGATGCTTAATAGTATCTGTTGATCGTTCGTCTCACAGTAATAAAATTTAGTTGAGCAAATAAGTGTCGTCACATCCCCTGTTCTCCACCCTGTCAAACTATAAATTGTGAAACATGAGCTGTTCTGGGTATACAACGCATAAAAAAAACCATGTGTTATACATAACAGCCTTGTTGCTGGCTGTACTTTCGTGCTTCTGATCTAATCTTTGTGCTACACTTTTTTTTTCCTTTGAGCTCCAGTACAATGTCATAAGCATAACATGGTCAGCATATCTCTATCTAAGCCATCCTTTTTTTCCCCCGTGTCGCCTCCCCGCGAGGGCGGCGACAGCCCAAGCCGCCGCTGCAACCTACCACCCTCGCCTCTTGCCTCGCCGCCGCTCGAGCGAGGTGCCGGCAAAGCCAGCGTCTCGCCAGGACGGCGGCGGGGTTCGCAGCTCTCGCTCCTCCGGTTTTCGACGCGGGCAGACCTAAGGGCGGAGGTTGGCGGCACCGTTTCCTGCAGCGGGCGGAGGCCATGGCAGCTCGTGGCGTTGGGCGGAGGAGGCGTCGCCGGCGGGGCAGAGGGAGTGGCGCACGGGAGAGGGAGCAGCGGCGGTTGGTAGAGATGGTGGCGGTGGAAGTGCCGCCAGATCCACGCCTGGATCTGGCGGGGAGGCGACCGGCGGTGGGGCCTGCTGGTGGCGGCGGCGACGGCGACGCCCGGTGGAGCAGAGGTGGGCGAGGTCCGACTCCGTGACGGCCGGATCCGGCTGGACGACGACAGACGGCGGTGGGTGCATCCTTAGATGCGCGGCCGGCGTCGGGGCGAGCGGGCAACGGAGGCAGCGGCTGGCGGCGATGGTGCGACGGCGTGGAGGCCGGCGGCGGCGTCGTCGGGGCGGTTGCTGGCTGCTTAGTGGCGGATGGCGACGGCACAGCGGTGGTCTGTGGAGGCGGTGGCTGCCGTCGGTGGCAGCGGCGACGACGACCGTGACTATGGAGGCAGTGGTGACGTCGGCGGTGGGGAAGGAGTCGGGTGCGAGGTGAGGATGGCGACGGCGAGGTGGCTGGGCGTTCGGCAGCAGCGGCTGCGGTGGTGGTGATCGTGACTGCGGTCACCGGAGGCATGACGGCCTCAGACGGCTAGCCGAGGGCGTGGGAGACGACTGCATCTGGCTGGCGCGGCATCGTTTGGTGGAGGGGTTGGAGACCGGCTTGGCGCAGAGAGGCGCAGCCGATGGCAGCGGAGGCCGGCTCGGCGCGAGAGACGCGGGCGGCGGAGATGGAGGCCGGCTGGGCGCGAGAGGCGCGGCCGATGGAGGGAGGCCGGATTGGCGCGAGAGGCGCGTCCGGTGGAGGAGGCCGGCTTGGCGCGAGAGGCGCGGCCGGCAGTGGAGGAGACGACCTAGGTGTGTGGAGGAGCTGCCGGTGGGTGTGGCGCGGTCTTTGGCGCACAAAGATTGGCCGGCAAGGGACGCCGGTGCAGGGGTCCCACATGTCGGCAGAGCTTGTGTGGAGGTGGAGCATTAGTGCGTTAGCCGTGGATTTGCAGGTGGTGAGCAGCAGGTGAAAACCTAGTCCGGCCTTGGTCGGACCGACAACGATGGTTCATTCCCCCTCCTGAGGGCGTTGTCGTGCTGTATCACCCCTCAAGGGTGATTGCCGGGCGAAAGCCCATTCTTGGCTCTTTTGAGCCCCGACGGACGGCGGTGGCGGTTTTTCGTCGCTTCTCTTCTTGAAGACGTCGTTTTGGCATCCCCTAGGGGGCGATCTCGTCTGTGTCCTTTTGTTGGTTTAAGTGGCGGTCGGTCACGCTTAGCGGCGGCCGGTCCGGTGTTAGTCTTCTCCTGGGTTTGTGTGTTGGCGATGTCGATGTGTGGATGATGGTATTTTTTTTCCTTTTTCCTAGTTACGACCATCCAGGGTTGTAATCTTATAATTTTTTTCCTGCTCTATTAATAGAACTTCGCACCGTCTCGTGCGAGGCGTTAAAAAAAAACATGGTCAGCATATGCAGTTTGAAGCATGCTAAAAGGTTGCTACTATATACAGGTGAGGTCAGTCGTTGATAAATGAAAACAAAGAGCAGTTTCTTTGGTTATTCTTGGATGGTCATCCTCCAATTGCTCCAGGCCTGTCGTTAATATATACCTGAATAACAGCAACAAACTCAAGCTCTAAAATTGGCCTGACTAATTATGCAAGCAAGCATGCAAGCAGCTGGTCGATCTCACGTACTAGTATTTAAGCGCATCATGTGAAGCACAATGTTTCGGAAATCTAATCCCCCGCAGCTACTAATTACTACTAACCGTTAAAAGTAGCCGCCGGTTAATATTCGATCGATCGATCATGTGGTGTACGTGGGCGTTGGGGCGGGTGGTGTTGGCGGTGGTGTTCCTGGTTGCGTTGGCTGCCGGCGATGCAGCGCCGCCCAAGGTTCACCGGAACCACGGCAAGTTCACGGCGGGGCCATGGAAGCAGGCGCACGCGACGTTCTACGGCGGGCGCGACGGGTCCGGCACGCTGGACGGCGCGTGCGGGTACAAGGACACGTCCAAGGAAGGCTACGGCGTGCAGACGGTGGCGGTGAGCACGCCGCTGTTCGGCGCCGGCGCCGGCTGCGGCGCCTGCTACGAGGTCAAGTGCGTGGACAGCCCCGACGGTTGCAAGGTCGGCGCCGCCCCCTTGGTCGTCACCGCCACCAACCTCTGCCCCCCCAACCCCGGCCAGTCCAACGACAACGGCGGCTGGTGCAACCCGCCGCGCGAGCACTTTGACCTCTCCATGCCGGCCTTTCTGCAGATCGCGCAGGAGAAGGCCGGCATCGTGCCCATATCGTACAGACGGTACGGTCAATTAGTGATATATATATTGTTCGTCTTTTCTCATCAGCTTAAGCTAATATATTATATGGAATGTAGGGTGCCGTGTGTGAAGGTGGGTGGGATCAGGTACACGATAACCGGGAACCCGTACTTCAACCTGGTGATGGTGTCGAACGTGGGCGGGGCGGGTGACGTGGCAGGGCTATCGGTGAAGGGGAACAAGAGGGTGAAGTGGACTCCGCTGAAGCGCAACTGGGGGCAGGAGTGGCAGACGTCGGAGGTCCTCACCGGAGAGTCGCTGACGTTCAGGGTGATGACCGGCGACCACCGCAAGGCCACCTCCTGGCACGTCCTCCCCCCCGACTGGCAGTTCGGCGTCACCTACCAGGCTACCAAGAACTTCAACTAATTCTTATCAATCATGCCAACCCAACCCAACCCAACAGCAAAATATGAAGGCTCTCTTACATGCATGAATGCTGACTACTGCAAATCTGGATCGAACCGATGATGATCATACTAGCTACAAATGTATATATGTGTTAACGAGGTGAAAGGAAAGCGAAGAAATTTAATTTGTGCATGAAAATAAAAAGGATCTGTTTCATACAAATCGGCAGTTGAGAGCATGCCTCCGTCTCTATCTGCAAATTAAGCAATTAATTAAGGGCATGCAGTTTCACTAGCTAGGGGAATGCATGGCTTGCGCCTTAGTGCCTGAACTGGGCTGCGCATTTCATGCAGCAGCACTAATTAACAACCAAGGGCCGGTGTCACGAATCAATACGGAGCCTTCATTGTTTCAGATTAACAACGAACATAAGACGATCTGCCGCTTGAGCAAATGCATTGCTGCTTGCTACGAAATTTGATCTCCACGACGGGAAATGGCCGCCGCCGCTCTGATTTGCAGACAGAGACAGCCACCGCTGGTTGAGCTTCCTCTTTGCCCTCACGCCGCCGCGCGCTGCTTCTTCGTGGCCAGCCTCTGCTCTGCCCCCGCCTGCCGCATCAACGGAGGTACGTACACACTGCTGCGCAGCTGTTCCAATTCTACTCAATCTTTACTTACTACTCTTTTTTTAAGTAATAAAATTCATTCTAGCCTTTTGATTCGAAGAAGCTATAACCCATTATTACAGAACTTGTACTTCAAACGACTACAAATTACATATCATAGCATTTTAGATAATGGAAATAGATTACATCTCCGGCTTCTGTCAAAAGACACACAACCATAAGTTTGTTAAAGAAAAGGTAAAGATAAAAATAAATCAAAATGAGAAATAAAGTGATGGAACAAATTTCCAACTCCCCTTTATTATTGAGTAGCGATAAACCACATAGATTTTTTAGTCAGCAATTCTAATAGAATTACGCCATCCATAATGCAATAAGAGATCCTTAGATTACATATCATAGTTTGGTAAATTAATTGAATCACCATCCTAAAGACATAGAGAACATAATACTCCCTCCGTCCCAAAATATAAGAACCTAGGACCGAATGTGACATTTTCTAGTACTACGAATCTGGACATGCAAGATGCCACATCCAGTCCTATGTTCTTATATTTTGGGATGGGGGACTACATAGTTAATGAAAACCATGCTTGTTGCATGTAATCCTTGTTTACTCCCCGAAATCAGCGCCAATCGAAACTCTTGCACATCGCCACCGACAACATCAAACCGAAGCGAAAGGTATCATGTAACTACATTGCAAATCAGTTGCTCGTCCAAGTGTAGTCGCAAAATGCGAGGAACAAACAATGGGGACCATCAACTGGCTATGAGCGAAATAGGATCCCATCCACGACATCTGCTACACGAAGAAGGTTCTCCGAAGCGAAGCCCCCCGGAGGATGCGATGTGATTCGTCGCTAGTCATCCAAAAGTTGGAGAAATATTTTCACCTGGAGATTAGCATGGAGAAAGAGAATAAATACCACAACAACGCCTTCAAGAAGGGAAATGACATCTAAGGATGTTACCATCGTCATATTTGGCTAACGGTAGGGAAAAGCTTTCGCCAGCGATTCCTGCCCACTCCACATCCACAACCAGCTCATACATGAAGAAATCTTGTAGGAGCACCACGTTGTTTCCACCAATAATTGCCAGGATCTCCTCATCATCACGCCACATTTGTTGTGGCACCCGGAGGGAGCTAAGAGGAGGCAGACATAGGCAACAAAAGAACAGGTGAATCTCTATCCCATCATGAACGAGAGCTGCTGTCGGTGGCCACATGTCACCACCACATGACCAGCGTTGCAACACTCCTCACGCCACAGCTCATGAAATCGCACTACCCAAGCCATCATGCACGAGCCTTGCTGCTGCCTGGATCCAGGGCGTTGCCGATGGATCCGGCCTTTTGGCCATGAATCGAAGCATCGCCAGGCTCAAACAATCGATGCCATCAGACCACCACATGAGGCTATCGCTGAGGAGGGCGTCGCCTAACATAGATGCCGTCACATCCGTCGTCTTGAAGGGGGTGAAGATGGCCCTGTCACCCCCATCCTAACGCTCACGCGGGCTTCTTATGGCATGCTTAGGTGGGGCGGTGAGTTGGAGAAGAGGGGGAAGATAGGGTGGCAACACTAGGCTTTGATCGAAATTAGGGAGGTGGGAAGATATGGGATGTTGGCGCTAGATATTGGTAAAAAATAAATCTTAATTTAGCAGTATACTAGTAGGAATTGAAATTGGGTACGAGAAAATGAAATTACTCTTGCATATATACATATTATTAGTAGTAGAAAATTTGGCAAAGTCGAATAATTTGTAGCCGAGAAAATAAAGTGACTGAGAAGGAAAGAAAGAGCCAAGAAGAATAAAAAGGGAAAAGAAACAGAACAAGCATAAGATGGCGAGTGAGGAGGTGGACGCTGGTGATCACTGAATCACAGATACTACGTTTATATTTCATTGTTAATAGTAATAAATCGATGGATCTTCTCTGGACTCTGCTGGCGGAGTACAAGTGTAGTACGCTGCGAAGTCCAGGCAGCGGATGGTGGAAAACTAACAAGTATAAAGGCTTCGTAATCCGAATCTCTCCCTCGTGCTAATAACCTCCTCCACTCGATCACCTCCTCTTCCCCGCCAAGCTCAGCCTGCCTATCCACTCCCACTCCCATGGCGGCAATCGATCTCTCCTCCCCCGCAAGATCATCGCCGGCGCCTCTCTCCCCGCGCCGCGGCTCCCTGCACCTCCTCCTCCGACGCCCGCGCCGACCCACCCTCCGCTGCTCCCTCGACGCCGCGCCAAAGTCAGTACACTCAATTCTTCTTGCTCATCGATCACCAATCCTTCTCGCTCAAACCCCCCAAGCTCTTCTCTTCCTAACTCTTGCCTCTGCACCCGCAGGCAGGCTCAGGCTCAGGGCCCGCCCGCGGCGGTCGCGGCGGAGGAGGCGCCCACCGCGCGCAAGGAGTGCTATGGCGTCTTCTGCACCACCTACGACCTCAGGGCGGTGAGCCTCCCTCCCTCCCTCCCTCCCACCATCTGTTTGTTGAAATGTTCCCCCCTGCTATGCTCTACCTACGCCTCCCTTTCTTTGGTTGGTACCAGTACCACACCCCAAGATTTCCCCTCCAAGCCTGCCTTGTTGTTGCTGTGCAGACTGTGATGTTGCATCAGTATTCCTTTTATTTTCATCATCTCTCTCAACTTGGAGTTCCATCACTCCACGTATACGAAGAACCATGTATTTGTGTTTCGTGTCAACTGCCCGTCAATTTCATTCCACCTGAAAGATCAAGCTTTTCACGCACAGGAAAAAAAATAAATAAAAAGATCAAGCTTTTTTGGCGCCTATGCACTTTCATACAAAGCCAACTCTAGGATCAAACACCGGCGGAAAAAAAAATGGACACTACACTACACCTACCACTGACCTCTTATTCTGTGATTATATTTGTAATAACTTGTAAAACATTACCCCTCAATCTTAATAAGATTTATTTGGTCTTCTCTTTGGCCGACCCGCCTAAAAAAATTATGTGATGATATTCTCTGATAGGCCGATAGCTGTAAACGTGCTTTTCTGCTTTCACCGAAAACAGAACCTAGGAATGTCCTTTACCCAAACAACTTTGTCATCAGGTCTTACCATAGTCCATACTGATATGGAGTACAATACAGTAAAAGTGTAAAATCGTCTTGACATGAGCCGGTTCTTCTGACCCAAGTTCCCTGAACTGGGGGCACCAGTCAATTCCTCACTAATTCATTTCGATGCACTACTGCCTGTTTTACTAATCTGTTTATTGTCTTTCCTGTTGAATGGAACGCAGGATGAGAAGACAAAGTCCTGGAAGAGCTTAGTGAATGTTGCTGTGTCGGGTGCAGCAGGGATGATATCAAATCATCTGCTTTTCAAAGTAAGTGCCTTACTGAAATGCGTAGGCTGGAAAGTTCCACAGATGAAGCAAATTTCCTATAGCAATGCTGACCATTTCTTTATTGTGAACGTTTGCAGCTTGCCTCTGGTGAGGTTTTTGGACCGGACCAACCAATAGCACTTAAGTTGTTGGGCTCTGAAAGATCAATACAAGCACTTGAAGGTAGATTCATTCTTCTTCATTCGGCCTTTAGATTTCAGAGGGAACATCATTTGCTAAATTTGCAACATTAGGTGTGGCTATGGAATTGGAGGATTCACTGTATCCATTGCTAAGGGAAGTCAGCATTGGTATAGACCCTTATGTAGTCTTCGAAGATGCAGAATGGGCTCTTCTTATTGGGGCTAAGCCCAGAGGTCCTGGAATGGAGCGATCTGCCTTACTAGATATCAACGGTCAAATCTTTGCTGAACAGGTCTTCTTTTGCTTTGCTTTCCTCATTTCTTGTGGAACACACCATTGTAAACTGTGAGCAAACCTCAAAAAAGGGAAAGACCTGCCAGGAGGCACTATAAAATTTCCATCCTCTGACTAACTATAGGATTCATTTGCATATATAGAACGTGCTAGAAACCTCTACTAGCAATTTGCTAGTAGCAAATAAGTTTTATCTTTATTATGCTCTAAAATTCTGATTGTATCAGGGGAAAGCACTTAACTCCGTGGCATCTCGGAATGTGAAGGTCATAGTTGTCGGGAACCCCTGTAACACTAAGTATGGAATTTTTTTATGTTTTCTAAGTGTGTCATTATTTTATACTATTATCATGTTTGAATTAAGTTTTTTTTAAACTTTTGTAGTGCATTGATTTGCTTAAAGAATGCTCCCAACATACCAGCAAAAAACTTTCATGCATTGACGAGGTTGGATGAAAATAGAGCCAAGTGCCAGGTACTTGACGTTAAATCGTAGTATTTGTGATGTATTTTTGTGGTTTTATTTCAAACAAATAATTGGACTTGTTTTTTGTAGCTGGCACTAAAAGCGGGTGTATTTTATGACAAAGTATCAAATATGACTATTTGGGGGAACCACTCAACAACTCAGGTGAAGATATGATTAGATATTACTGGCTTTCTATTGTAATACTTCCAATTATTGTACCTTTCTGTGGGGTACTTTTGTTTATTCTTATTACTGATGATTTGCTCTGAGTAGGTTCCTGATTTTTTGAATGCTAAAATTAACGGGAGACCAGTGAAAGAAGTCATTAAAGACACAAAGTGGTTAGAAGATGAATTCACCAAAACAGTTCAAAAGGTAAGCCCGGAGTGTATGCCCTACATCAATTTATAACTGAATTGATGTTTACTTTGTTCGCTTCATTCCTATGTTTCAACAGCGTGGAGGAGTACTCATACAAAAATGGGGCAGATCTTCAGCTGCATCAACCGCCGTTTCCATCGTGGATGCTATTAGGTCCCTTGTAAATCCTACCCCAGAAGGCGATTGGTTCTCTACTGGGGTAAAATTCGAGACTTTTGGTTGCTAATTGTTTCTTTAATATTATTATGGCTCTCAACCAAAAGCAATGGTAAAACATAGGTTTATACGACTGGAAATCCTTATGGCATAGCAGAGGACATCGTGTTCAGTATGCCATGCAGGTCAAAGGTGTGTTTTCGTATTCACATTCTCCCTGCTTTTTCTTCCTGAGGATCAGTCGATCGCCATTGTGAATTTGTGATAAGCAAATTACGTGCTTCATACAGGGTGATGGTGACTACGAACTAGTTAAAGATGTGGCAATGGACGATTTCCTCTGGGAACGGATAAAAAAGGTTTGATCTATAGGCGTCGATGTTTTGTACAATATTCTGCTAGAATTGCAAGCAGCATACAGGTTTTTGAAGTTATCAACCTTATTATAATTCTTTCAGAGTGAAGCTGAATTGCTCGCCGAGAAAAGATGCGTTGCCCATCTTACTGGAGAGGTAAGTAAAGTGGTCATGAAAAATAATTAGCTCAGTAAGACAACAGGAAAACCAAACTCTACTGAACGAGTGACTGACTGCGTCTGTTTTTGCCATGATGCAGGGCAATGCATTTTGTGATCTTCCCGGAGACACCATGCTTCCAGGAGAAATGTAGAATCATTGTTGCGGTAACCCTGGCTTGTGTTATTTCACAGGGGTTTTCGACGGAAACACACACACACAAACTACTAGTAGCTGAGAGAAACAACTGCTTGCAGATTACTTGCAGCAGTTATTTATACGTATGTATAATAAGTATTTATTTAATAAGGATGCCACAGAAATTTCAACTATGTTGCCGAGTTTGTACACTATAATACAATCAACCAAATGCAATGCGGCTGATCGTATAGCATATACTTCTGGATTTTCCCAGTTTTGCAAAGGAAAAGATCCTCGAGTTTTATTCCAGGCAAGAGCATAAGTAAACACACAAATATATAGCGACAAGGACTTTCTTCAGTAACAGAATTTACCACCAGATGCCTGCGACCGACAAATACAACACAGCGTTTTCTACATAGTAATCTTTCCTTCTCATTCAAAAACCTGCAACACCGCAACAGTCATAAGGGCAAATGCACCCTCGTTCAATTCATTGCAGATTTGGGGAATATTTACAGCACTCTGCAGTTTGCACTAGCACCGCCCATGCCAACCAGAAACATGAATATGAATAGTAGCACCATCATGAACTGATAATAATCAATTCGCGCTTACTACTACGAATAGCACCTGAGGAATTCATACATACACTACTAGCTCTCTCGAGCTGCAAAACGGTACTGCTAGTGCTATAGTTAAACAGCCTCAGCCCTTGTTCAACACATGGAGGTCATGTAATGTCATGCAGTGCAATACATTAAGCCAGCAGCAGGAGGTCCCTAGTTTGCCTCAAATACAGATAGGATTACCTAACGTCATGTTCTTAACGTCTCCAATACCAGCAGGCCTACTTGCCATAGATGCACATGCCCACCTCGTAGCTCACCAAGAGCATTATTGCTGAAAAGAAGAAGAGGCAGAAGCCACCACGCAGTACTGCGGTTATTGTGTTGCAGCCAAAGTGTACACGGGTATCAGGCTCAAAACCTGCCGAGAAGAGCAGCTCCATGCCTTCATCCTTCTCAAGGGACCACTTATCTTGAGAATCAGGAGTTAAACTTCCTATGCTGATTACTTCAGCAGAGACACGGATAGTGTTGTGATGAGCTCCAGAAATAGGAGCCAAGGATTTGCGAAGGCTAGCTGGGAACTCTGCTGCTGCAAAAGCAGGGGGAGCAGAGATTGAATCCAGTATCTTTACAAAACGCTTCCCGATCAGACTACTCTTGGTCTGGGAATCTGTGGAATATAGTACAAACACTTGTCAATAATGTTCAATTACAGGTACAAGTTAATGGCCAGGCAATGAGAAATCACATGCCAATTGTGTGTAACACTGCACTGATTGAGCAAGATAAGAGTGTCTCCACAAAAATGATCTAGTAATACTTAAATCTTGCTCAATCAGGACAAGTAAATACAACAATGAACAATTCCTCATTGCAAAAAAAAAAAGATTAATTATTAGTGGCCCAAAAAGTGCTGAGAATGCTCTTTTTCCATGATGGATCAGCACTAAAGAGCAGGAAATAATAATTGACCTATGGTACTTCTCCATAGTAATATTACCTGGTAAAACAACATAATTTAACTGACTACCCGCTTCAGGTAACCTAGCAGATGATGGGGCACCAACTACAAAATTAGGTTCTAAAACCTTTTGAGTTGGACTATATGTATAGGTTGAATTGTTGACCTGTAAAAGTAGAAAATTATGGGTGATTTCCAGTAAACACATCAATGGCGTGCACAAAATGCAACAAGTTCATCGCTTGATGCAAATGACTGTACCTCTTGAGTAAGGACTGGCCCACTAAAAGCATGGGAACTGCTACCAGCTGATGGCTGTACTGAGCTCAGAAGATCATTAAACAAGTTATCATCCATCGCATCATAGTACGGCATACCATCGTCCACCATGTCAATACCAGATAGATTGGTCGATGGGGAGCCAAGAAATCCATTGAGCTGTCTAAAACCATCATCACACATTGAAGAATCAAAGGGTGCATCATAGAACATTAGACAATCTTCCTCTGGCTTAGCTAAATTTGTTATAGATGAATGTGGGGGATCAGAGATAGTTGAACCCATATGAGAGTCTTCTTGCAGTGACTGTAACAACTGTTCCAATTCTTCTGGCTGGAATATCTGTTCACCAGCTAAGGGAGAAAATTCATTGCTAGCCCCATTCACAGCCTCCATGGAATCAGTTGATTTCCAGGGCCAACCATCAGAAGGCCAGATGGTGGATTCATTGGCTAAAGGATTCTCCAAATCTGCAATATCTGCAAAATCCTTCAGTTCTAGGAATCCATCATTGGGGCTAGATATATTAAAAAGGTCTCCAGCATTGGCACTAGAAAACATATTTTCATTAAGCACTAGGCCATTTTGCTCCACAGGCTCAACATGGTGAAGAAAGTTAGACCCAAGGTTTTGGTCACTTAAAATGTCCCCTGAATTTCCATCCACGTCTTCAGAATGGTTGCTGTTGTTTGAATTGTCAGAAACTGGCAAGGCAATGGTACCATTCTCATTTTGATCAACCAAGTTCTGAAAAAAAAAAGGAAATGACAGCATATTAGAACAATCGACACAGAGGCAGATATATACTGGATAAAGAAACTGATAAACTGAGACATGAAAAAACAAAAATCACCTGCAGAACAAAACTCATACAAAAAAGGAAGTCTTGTGTGGACGAACAATACGCTCCTCTTTTACTAGAGAAAATAGGTTCATTTTACCAAGACCAATTTGTTGAACAAGTTATAACAATATATGTTTTAGGGGTCTCAGAAGTTGGTAATATACAATGAAGACATAGATAGGCAGCACAAAAAATCCAACCTTTTAATGCTCATAGACATGGATACTATGATATCATGACTCTTGTGGGTCGTGATCTCATATTACTTGCTACCTAGTCCTGAGAGATATGAAGATGTACATCAAAAGTGAATACATGTCAGCATCCACAGTACATAGCACGGCATACAAATTCATCATTACAGGTTGTCTAAAGGGCAATGCTGAAGAAAATCCAGCGTTCCTTTTCTGAGAGAGATAGATGGTTAATCAATGTATACGATCATAAACACAACATACCACAAAAGGCCATGTTCAATAAAAAAAATAACTTAATCGTACAAAAGGCGCCATCAACAATTACTATTTGACAGTTTGGTAGGAAAAATGTCAAGTATTGATATGGAAGAATGACTGGAATAAACTACACATATAGAAGCAGTCCTGAAATTGATTGGTATGCATTTCAGCATCTGATGTTAAAAGGTGCTAGATTTGTACTAGAACGGTGAGAAAACAGAAAGCGTGCGATTTGAAACTGTACCTGAACGAGGTCACTCATCTGGAGATAGCCCTTCTCCATAGCACCAGAAATTTCCTTTTCCTGGTCATCAGAGTTGTCCTTCTCCTCCACCGGTAGCAAACCAACATCCTCGTCATCCTCCTCCCACTCCTCCTCAACAAAAGGAGCTCCGTACTGAGCCCCGTTCTGTGGACCTGGGCCGGCTTTCTGGAAGATACGGCACACGACGAATGAATCCTGTACACATATAGGTCTCAAAATCAGCATCATGGCATCGCATTATCAGCAGCAGAATAATCAACAAATTGAGGCCGTAGCGGCAGTAAACATGCCTACGTACTAGTAGTAATCTAGCAATCAGGCAGGAGCGCTGTTGGGGACGGGCAAATCAGTGACTAGCAGTTCAGTGAGTTATCAAACACTTTGTTTTGTTTCCCCGAAACAGTGTAGGGGGAAACATATTTTTTTAAAAAAAAAATATCTAAGAGAGACCATAGCTAGCAAAATCATGGATTTAATAACTCGAGCACCAATTCGTTAATATACATAGTGCGAGAAAGAAAACTGTAATCTGAAACATGGGTTATCAATCAATCAATCATAGATGGGCAGGTAAGGGTAAGATAGAAAGAGAAATGGAGGGATACATATGGCGAGAAATAGAAATATAATCTGAAACATGGGTCAATCTGATACATGAGCAGGTAAGGTAAGGGTAAGATAGGAAGGGATGGGGGGACCTGTGGTGGGATGGTGGTTTGGCCGTCGAGGCGGTACTCGTGCATGACCCAGTTGGTGCGCTCGCCCTTGGGGGCGCGGCCGGCGTGGAAGACGAGGGTCTTCTTCATGCCGACGGTGGTGGGGCCGTTGCGGACCTCCCTGTCCTTGCCGGTGGTCTTCCAGTAGCCGCCGGCGGTGGCGCGGTTGGTGCGGGCGCGGTTGGCGTGCTTGCGGTCGAGGCGGCTGAAGAAGTACCACTGGGAGTCGCGGCTGCGGAGGCGGGAGCGGGCGGGGAGGTCCCATGGCTCCACCTTGTACAGGTCCACCTCCGCGATGGCGTCCACCTTGAGCGGCCGCCCATGGACCTTCCGCTTCAGGTAGTAGGACACCAGCTCCTCATCCGTCGGGTGGAACCGGAATCCCGGTGCGAGGGAGGTGGCCTCGGCCGCCGCCGGGGGAGCGGAGGAGGACGACGACGAGGGGTGGCTCATGTGCCCTAGATTGGGATTGGGGTTGAGATTTGGGGAAAGTTTGCCTTCCCCCTTGGTTTTTGGGGAAGAAACGAAACGCAGCAAGGAAGGAGATGAGGATGGCTTGGGCTATAAGAAAGGACGGGGGCATTTTCGGAATCCCACTCGCTACTCCTTTCTTCCTTGGAAACTCTTCTTCTTGCACTTTCCCTCCCCACTCCCTACATTTTCCCCTTTTTCCGTTTCACTATCGTGTCCAGGTCCATTCCCAACTTTTAGACTCTACTCCCGTACGATGATTAATTATATTAGTTAAAAATTTTAAAAATAAATTAATATAATTTTTAAAGCCACTTTCTTATATAATTCTTTTTAGAAAAATATAATGTTTAAATTTTGAGAAACATACATGCGGAAAATAAGATAGTAGAAGTTGAGAAAGTGTATTGTCAAACGAAGTCTTAGTAGTTTGTTTGTTACTAATATAGAGATGGACGCACACACAAGGTAATTTTCCAAGTCAACTTTTTCTTGCTTGATGCGGTGCAAATCTCTGGCCGTGTTTAGATTCTAACTTTTTTCTTCAAACTTTCAACTTTTCCATCACATCAAATATTTAGACACATGTATGGAGCATCAAATGTGGACCGAAAAAAACCAATTGCACAGTCCGACTGTAAATCGCGAGACGAATCTTTTGAGCCTAATTACGCCATGATTTCACAATGTGGTGCTACAGTAAACATTTACTAATGACGGGTTAATTAGGCTTAATAGATTCGTCTCACAGTTTATAGGCGGAATCTGTAATTTATTTTGTTATTAGTCTACGTTTAATACTTTAAATATGTGTCCATATACTTAAAATAAATTTTGGTACACGAACTAAACACAGCCTTTGTTTCAGCATAACAAAACGTCTGAGCTGAAAGCCTTGACAGTCAAATTGCAAACTGTGGTGGCAACCCTGAGATCTTCCAGGACAGGAGCAGGGTGATCTAGCTAGTTTCGGGATGTTGTTTTGCTCAACTTATCAGTGAAGTATATAGGTTAGCTAGTTTCTCTGTTCTTTGTCCATGCTATAGTTGATCTGTTATCGTTGAGTTGTGCTCCCGCGTGGGCGCCTTCTGGTCTGGTATGACCAAGGCGTCTTTACACCCCCTAACCTTGTTAACCCCAACAGAACCTGCCATGATGTTTTTCTATTAAAAAAACCGAGTCATATGATTTTTTTTTAAAAAATAATTTATCCATATAATCAAGTAACTAATTCATTCAATAATCTAAATCAAACGAGACCTCAAAATGTATATAATCGAGATAACATTTTCATTCAGGTGCATTGTGATGTTTGATCACATAAAAAATACAGTATATATATATAACAACTAGACTAAAATATTGGTGATATGAACCTTATGGCAATATACTTATATGTGTATGGAGGGACAGGACATATACTATATGTCTGTTTCATGTGTCGTAGGAACAATGGAACACGCGTGAGTGTCTCTCTCTCTCTCTCTCTCTCTCTCGCTCTCTCTCTCTCTCTCTCTATATATATATATATATATATATATATATAGGTAAATTAACTGGTGCTACATGGAGTATGGGCTCCAAGATTTAAATTGAGTATATATCCAATTTGAATGAGTATGAATTTTTTTTAAATGTTTAGATATGAACATTAACTTCTTTACTAACAAGTTCAAACAAGTTTGAACTGAGTTTGAACTTTTTTTTGTTAGATTTTGGTTCTAGGTATATAACATCCAAACATATAATTCGTTAGGTATGTAATAATGAATTGTGAAATAAAGTTGAGTTTGAGTTGTTTTGTTGTTAGGTATTTGTATGAATCAAATTCATATACCTAGATATCTACTTACAATTTGTAAATTTTTAAATTTTGAGAGAATTTGTGTGTTTGATGTCTTGGAGCCTGGGCACAATGGAGTCCCATATATATATATATATATATATATATATATATATATATATATATATATAATTAGCTTAGTATTAAGCGGTGAGATTAATATATATATTAAGCACGCGGCTGTAGGTACGTAGTTTGCAAATGGAGAGTTTCAAGGTGCAATTTGGAAAATTTATCTAATTTGGCAATTTTTTCGAGGCCGAAGTTTCCGTTCGTGTTCCGGTTTGGCTGACCGTGGACTTTTATTGTTGCTCAACGACGAGCACGTAATGGACGATTTTTATTTAGACACGTCGATTCAGACGTATGGCCACCTAATTGATTACTCGTAGTAGTAACTGAGACCCCACCAGTCAGTCACTGATCACTCATACTCCTATATATGAGCTGCGCTCGATCACTAGCTATAATTCATTTAATTATTTTTGTTCTAGTAGTAGTAGTAGAGTCTCTCTGGTCACAACTCACAAGATCAGGATGTCGTCTGGAATTTTTCGTCCAAGTCATCAAGCACACACAACTTTGTTTCGTACTATAAATGAAAAAAAAAGAGAAAATTACTCTTTTACTATATAAGTACAAAATTTGTTTGCGAGGTTTGATAGGCAGCATGCATTAATTAATAACGTGATCATATATGAATACTACATACACTATGTGAAAGAGATCTTTGACAGATGTACCAGTTAATTAAGATCTTGACCAGGCGAGGCCGTTGACAATTAATAGTAGTAGCAGTGACGGTTATTGTGTGTTGACATGTCAGCTGTCCGGACAAATGTCGTTGCTAGCTCGTTCCGTCGATTGCAACATGTATACTAGTATAGTTCGCTTAGCCACGACGCTGCCTTTGCTTTAACTGGCATGCTGTGAAGAATCATATCGTATTTTAATTACTACGTAGATATGATGATGATGCTGCACGTTCAAGAAACAATGCAAAGCCAACCCGTTTACTCAACCGCTCGTTCCTTTGTTTAATATATAACTTGTCTATCCATCGACCGGATATGATATCATTAGTATTTTGTGAAAAGAAATTATAAATGTGTTAAGAAAACACGAGATTTAGGGCTAAAATCATACACTTTTTATCATTGCACTATTAAATGGAGTACATCTTAGGGTAGTCCTAACCCATAATGTCCATAAGCAGTGTCTATGGTACCATGTCAATAAGACATCACAATAGAAACTACACTCTACAACTTATGGTTTCTTAAAGTGGGCCATTAATAAATACATCATCTCTCTTCTCTACCAATTATATTTATTCTTCATCTTCTCTACCAATTATATTTATTCTTCATCTATTATGAAGACATTATTCTCCCCCAATGCAAAACTTGATAGTATCTAGTGCATAGGTTCTCGTGTTGAAGCTGTGTCTTGCATGAGACATAGTTTCTTCCTCTCTTCACTCTCTCTCTTAATTAATATAGTGTCACATAAGCTAAAAATCCTACATGGCAATGTAGTTAATGCTATAGACACCATCCTAATTGAAGGGTTGGGACTACCCTTAGAGCAGGTACAATAGCAAACTATAAGCAAGCTATGCACACATATCGAGGAGATAAAGGAGGAGAGATAAGGCCATTCTCAACCCAAGAAACTAAACATAGTTTCTATAAACTTCACATCATCAAGAAACTAGTACTAGACACTACTCTTCTAATACAAACACTACTATTCCATACTTAAATTTAATGCTACTTATCTCATATGATATCTTGGATGTTGTGTAGAAACTATGTTTCATGCAAGACATGGTTTCTTTCTCTTTCCTCATTTATTAACTAGATCATATTCCCCATGTTTTGCTTCAGAAAGTACTAAGAAATCTTTAATATGTTCTTTGAACAATCGAGCAAGAAGTGAATAGGAGATTAGTTATTACCATCAAATGAAATTGTTTTGCCAAGACATGTTTGAAGAAAAATAAATTTAATAGGCTCTCTAGGAGATTGTAAATAAAATATTAGGTTGTTGGTCAAGATTTACATCGCAGGAAGCAGAAGGTAGGAAAAGATATGAAAAGCTAGAGTTACTAATCATGAAACAAATTCTTAAATAATACCCTCTGCTTTGATATGGAATATATGGATAGATATATGTTAAGTATTATAAATATTATAGATAAATATGTTTACATGTTGATTTTTTAGAATATACTATATGCTTGCATGAGCTTTTGATAAATAATTATTGTTAGTGGATAATGATATGACATGCTTTCCTATTGAGTTTTAGATTTAATGGGCTAATAATTTTATAGTATGTATTTATAGAATGCATAGATTAATGAGGAACGAAATGATACAGCCATACAGCCATACAGGGCTAGCGAATCAAGCACATTATCTCTGCCTTGACATGTATTGGGCTGCTGGGCCAGATGTCAGCTCCTTAATCTCGCTCGGCCCATTAATTTCCACTTCCCCGCTCATGTTTTTTCTCTGGCGGCAGAACCACGTACGGTTCCAGGCCGGATCATCTCTCGGTAGTGTTTTTTTTTTTAAAAAATGTATAATTCCTTAGCGATTGTGTTCTAAACACACTAGCTTCTAGGTTATCTGTAAATATGATGTATAATTTTTTAAAAACACGGTACAAAATGAACATGCTCTTATATATATACACGTGCACATGTAGCTTAAGCTAGGAACACACCTACGCAAATACGCATATAACACATTCAAGCGCGACTGTATATACATACTCCACATTTGTTGTTGGTTGTCCATATCCTGCCTACACATCAAGATCAGCAAACACAATCGAATATCATGTGACCATACATATCTATACTCAAACAGTCAATTACTCGGGAGAATTAATTGAAGAAGGGATTTAAAAGGAGAGATGCTAAGACGATTCAAACTATACATCATGAATGGGAGGTATGGAACTATAGGACAACCGACAACCATTTACTCCCTCTATCCCATAATATAAGTCAAACTTGACACGGTCTACAAAACTAATCTTTGTCTTATAATTTCTCATATATTATAAACTTTGTAGTAACAAAATTATAACCATATGAAATGAAAGTAAATTCAAATGTCAATCCAATGATATAATTTTTAGCAAGTAAAATTTAATTCATATTGTACTAAATGTTGGTCAAAATGTTTTGGAGGTTAAATCTTGGAATGCATGAACGTCTTAGATTATGAGATGGAGGGAGTACAACTGTCGTAGCGTGACGGTTAGGACAACAAGGCCAGCCAAACACACTCTATATCCATCTTGAATAGCACCATTGTTTCCTTTTGACTTAACAAGTTATTTTCGTTTGATGCCAAAATATTCCCTACTAAAATGTGTTTAGGTTTTAGCATTGCCAACATTTTGATATGGTAGCAAACCAAACAAACCCAATATTTTGGATACCTCATCATTGCATTTTATAATTAAAAAGTTGTAAAAAAAATTAAAACAATACTCTGTCCGCATTCTAGCGTTCAATTATTTTTACCAAGATATTTGCCATTCTCACATTCAAAGCACTTTTAGATGCTGCCCTTTCTCCTTAACCTTTCATCAATGTAATCACAACTTAATTTCATTGGCTCATAAAAAACAATCAAAGTTAGTGGGCTAATGGCTACTTTGAGAAAATAATTAGGGTGTAAATATAGTGAGGGTGACAATATAATTTACACATCTCATTTGTTTGTGTGAGATTTGATATAATGATAAGTAATTTGAAACTGAGGGATTATATAAAAGTGTTTTACATGATAAATCTATTAATATTAATTACACATAATAAATCATAACATTTTTGCATCCATTAATGTTTTGAGGTTTGACTACATATAATCTAGGAAATCTCATTTATTTGATAATGGAGGTGGTAGTATATATAAAGCATGCATATTCTACCTAGGTAGCTTGCCCCCAATTAACCAATTGCAAATCAATATATACCATACCTTAGTTCAATTTCTAGTTAAATATATCCCCATATCCGTTACTTGGGAACTTAGGATGATGATCTTCTGTTCCATCTCTCTCGATCTTTGCATGGACCCTAGAAGTTAATTGCAAGACAAGACAAACAGGAGTATTACATTATTTACCATGCATAACCATCTTGATTATTGGAGTAGTATATCATGCATTCATTATTACCAAGACAGTTTGTAATAAACCTTAGTATTATATTGTAAAGCTAAAGCCCCTAGCTAGTTAGCTAATACAGTATATATTCATCACACATCTCATAAGCTAATGTATAGAACTAACTGATAAACTGCCTGAAATTGCTGCCCTGATCGATTTCCAAATTAACATGTGTGTTCCAATTAGCATTGTCATGCTAATTTAACTAGCCATGCAGTACTGGATTGAATCTTTCATGGACATATATATGCAGCAGGTGATGGCAACAATACAATCACAGTTAGTTAGTAAGGTCGTCAGGCGGCGCCCATGCCAATGCCGGTGGTGTCGTCAATGTTCCCGGCGACGGACGCCGAGGACGATCGCTGCCTCTTGCCGGCGCGGGGGGCGTCGAGCGGCATGACCGGCTGGTGGCCGGCGAAGAGGGAGACATGGCCGATAAGCTTGTCCTTGCGGGAGAAGGAGGTGCCGCAGGAGCAGAGCCAGCGGTGGTCGCCGCAGTGCTTCTCGTGGGTGCGGAGGTCGGAGAGGACGGAGAAGTGCTTGCGGCCGCAGCGGTTGCACACGTACATCTTGGGGCAATGGCTGCGCTTGTAGTGGTTCTTTGCGCAGATCACCGACTTGAGCGGCTGGAACTTGGCGTGCCTCCTGTTCCACCGGCAACCCTCCTGCGGGCACGAGTACTTCCTCGCCGCCGCCGCCATCGTCTCGTCGCCTCCCTTGGCGAGCAGCTTGGTCGGATTGGACAGCGCCGCCTTGCTCTTGTACTCGTCGCCGTGCGCGCGCATGTGCATCCGCAGGTTGGCGTCGCGCTTGAACCCCTTGCCGCACACCTGGCAGTAGTGCGTGTACTTGGCAAGCAGCTCCGCCGCGTCCAGCTCGATGATCGTGTCCGTCGCCGACGTCGCGCCTGCCGGTGCCGCCGTTTCGCTGTGGAACACCGGCGGCGCATGGGCATGGCTGCTGTAATCGTGCTGGCGGCTGCCGTTCTGCTGCCACTGCTGCTGCATGAGATGGTCGTCCTCCATCTGACCGGCATCGGCGGCATGGTCGTTGTTCTTGACAACAACGGCGGAGGCGGCGGCGGTCTCCTGTGATGGCGCGGTGGTTGGCGCCGTGCCGAGGTCGCAGAGCAGCTGGAAGGCGTACATCATGGAGGAGGCGGCGGCGACGATTTCCTGGATGATGGCGTCGGCGGCGGAGACGTCGAGGGGGCCGTGGGCGTGGGCGTTGTGGGCGACGGCGAGGCCAACGAGCGGGTGCAGCTGCTGCACCCTGTCCTTGAGCACGGACAGGTTGTAGAGCAGCGGGTGGCACTGTGGCTGCTCGCCCATGAAGCCGCCGCCCTCCTCCATCTCCATGCCGTCGACGCCGCCACCATGCCCATGCTGGCTCTGCACCAAGTAAGGGCTAATTCCGCCGCCGCCGCCGCCGCCGCCACCGCCTGGAATCATGCTACGTATGTAACTAACTAGTTGTTGATAATTGCGGTCGCAATTAGAACAAGAAGAGATCATAAGAAGAAGAAGAGGGGATGAATGGATGGATGGAAATTGGAATGACTAATAATAAGTCAACTCAACGAAAGCTAGATGAGGAGCTAGGAGATAAAGCAAGCTTAGCTTCGTCATCCGTTAAGAGCATCCCTACTTGAAGCCTCCCTCAAATGCAACCCAACCCGAAAGGGACATGTCAGAGGTTAATACTATATTACTGTACTTACATATAATACATACATACTCATTATTTAATCTCTTTCATATTTTAATCCGGAATTGCTAAAACAATATTATCACAAGCTCTTTGTTAAGAAAAAACTTTCAAATATAACTACGATATTATTACATTATAAAGATGATATAATTATAGCTAGTGTACGTCGCTACCCTCTAACTATATTTTAACCTAATTCTTGTACAAGGTTACATATATAAATTTATTAATACTTTTATTATAAGTTATAATATAATTATACTACAGTTACGATGTAATTATATTACAACTATAATATATAATAATTTTTAAAAGTTTTTCACTTAAAAAACTTAGGTTAGTTTTCTAGGTAGCCTCTTTTAATCCTGGTACGTGCCTTCTAATTTGCTGTTTCTGAACTATTTTTTTCTTTGGAGATGCATCAGTGTTAGTTTCTGAACCTTTTAAGCACATGAATGGGCAGGCTTTCGCTAAATTTTAACTCCAATCAAGCGCTTTGTTTATTAGCAAGCTGGCTAGGGTACGTGTGATTAATTGTTCCTTCACTTGCTGGCACTGCACTGTACTGGGAAAGTGGGAATTGATGAAAATTAATTCAGCTCATACGAGAATATATATCTGTCCCTCCCTTCCTCCTATCCTAAACAACAAGCTAAGCTAGATAAAGCCTGCTTGCCTGGTTTGTCAATTAAGGCACAGTCGTCACTGATCTGTGGGCCCTCTCGCCGTGCTGCTTCCAGATCGAGTAATAGATTAGTGCAACTTGTGTGCTGCTTGGTCTCTCTGGGCTCTGGCCTTCCTTCCCACTGCGTGGACTTGGACGACCCAGTTGCCTTTCTAAATTGCAGATTAAATATTATACAGTATACTAATAAGTACTCCAGCTAGTACTACTAGATAGGAGAGAACGATTCAACACATTAATCTCAATTGTTCTGTTCTCTGGGAAAAGAAATTATATGTTGAGGTAAATCTTTCATTTTCCCCCTTGGATTTCGATCGATGAGCACCCAAAATCATATCAACTGTTAATTAGAGCAACCTAGTCAGAACACTTGACCTAATCTAATATACCAGAGTACGTATAGTATGTGTGATGGCAGCCAGGCGGCACACGCCTTTAATTAACCACTCTCGTGCCCCACGTCGTGATCAGCTTGACTAATTATGCGCAGGAAACGACTGAATTAAAGGGAGATGTACTGAGCCTACTAGCTTGTGTCACGGTTGTTTACTTACGACAAACATGTATGGCCGTGAAAGATTGTACTACTATTCATTAACAGTTGACAATTTGCAGAGTTTCACTTGCCAAACACCTCAACAAAAGGCTCCCAAGGCGAGGAGCCACAGGTCGCGCGGCCCATCCTACTTAAGCCCATTTCAGTCGCATCCTCGTTCCGGCCCATTGCAGTGTTACATCATTTTTTTTCCCTAGATTAAAAATTTTACTCCCAGTAAAACTTTTACTATTAACAATGTGGACAAATCTCAAACGTTTATTTTTTATCCAACGGTAATTTTCAAGTTTCCATTACCACCTTCATCCCATAATATTACAAATAATAGTATTGAATGGAACACATCCTAGTTTTACATCTTATTACTATGAATATGGGCAATACTAAGATGTGTCCCATTAATGACGATTCTACATACAATTTTCCAGGGTCACAAGACCTCAAGTAGATTATCAATGTTCTAACTAAATTATACCATATTAATTTGTATATCAGTTAATAATTAGATAATTTAAAGTAGTGAAAAAACTAAAGTTTTTCACCACCACAATGCGCCACGTCACCAGGAAAACATGGACCGTCCGATCCTTCAATAGACAAAATATCTTCTTGGTCCTTCAAGAAGTTGCTTTTTAAAAATAGCCCCTTCCACGTCCCTACCCTATTGGGGAAAGAATAATTTCCTTTCGTTCTACTCGCGTCCGAGAGGCGGATAGCCGGAGACAGCGCGCGTCCCCCTCGCCGCCACGTCCTCCTAAAGTCTCCGGTGCCATCGCTCCGTGCCTCCTCCCCATCGTTGCCGCCACCGCGTCTCCTCCCAATCCCCTCCGTCTCCTCCCCATTAACAGATCGCGGCACACCACCAGGTATAAGGAGATCACAGCATCACCGGCCAGCGCTAACCCCTCGTCGCCAGCCATCACAAAGAGGCGCCCTGGTTCCACGCGGCGGCGGCAGCGGTGAAAGCCATAAAACTCAAACGAAACTATTGAGGTCAGTGCCATGTAGACTCACAGCAGTGGCGGCGGCTGCCCATGGAGCTCGATGGGGTCGTAGTAGCGGTCCATGTAGATGCGGCTGTGGCCCATGTAGAGCATGCTCCGGCGACCCCATAGATGCTTAGGCCTCCCAGCTGTGCGCCACCACATCCTTATTCTTCTCTCTGCAGAGGCCATGTCAGGATTGCTCCAAGCATGCACATGCCAGGATCTTCGCTATGCTTCGGCCGATAACTGGCTTCCTTGATTTCACCATCCATGCACACAAGGTGCTCGATGAAAAGTTTACTTTGAGATTGGTATGCTATTTGATCAGTTCCTGTGTGAACTCCCCAGCTAGCTAGCTAGCTTAAACTTGCGATTAATTTAACTCAAGCAATGAAGCGAATAAGCGATGCATTCATCCGTCAGTTGACGATGGCTTTTGGTATGTAGCTTTTGAACTTAATGTGCTCTGGTTTTATATTAGATTTTTTTTCTCTTCTGTTGGTGTGTCCTAACATTATTGTCTTCCCTCATTAACTAAACTAGCATGGTGGTCCACACAAATTGTGCGGCTAGCATCATTATATTTTCTCTCATATAATAGCATATATGTTTTCTCATTATATTATTCTAATATATTAAAATGACAACATAATTTTAAATTTTGCAATAACTTTACAAAACTACCAATGTGTAATATTCATATTGTATTTTATATAAGTCTTAGTTATTAATTATTTTTAATATTAAATTTTAGTTATTTGTAAATTATATATATTCCTATATGGACTTTAGACTCGTCTTTTAATATATTTTTTCAATTCCGAATTTTCTGTAAATTGTATATCTATATAGACTTTATGCTCTTCTTCTAATAATATTTATTTTTATTTCTGAATTTTTATTATTTCTAATTATATTTCTATATGGACTCTAAACTCATCTTTCAATATTCTTTAATTTTTAATTTCGAATTTCAGTTACTTTTAAATTGTATTCGTATATTGACTTTAAACTCTTCTTCCCATGTTTTTATTAATTTCGAATTTTAGTTATTTGTAAATTATATTTTTATACGGACTCTAAACTCTAATTTTAATTTATTATGTTTATTCCAAATTTTAGTTAGTTTTTAAATTCCTATATGGACTCTATACTCTACTTCTAATACTCCTTATTTTTTAATTCCGAATTTCTATTTTTTTTCTTAATTGTATTTTTATATGTACTCTATACTCTACTTCTAATATTCCTTATTTTTAATTCTAAATTTATATTATTTCCTAATTCCGCGCAGATTGCGCGGCTAGCATCATTATATTTTCTATCTTATAATAATATATATGTTTTCTCAATGTATTATTCAAATATATTAAAATGACAACATAATTTTGCGTGTCTCATGAGAGCGAACTTCCAATATTCCTTTTTTAAATTTCTAATTTTAGTACTCCAAATTCTACTTTAATTTTATTAGTTTTATTCTGAATTTTAAATTCTTGTATGGATTCAATACTCTTCTTCCAATATTCCTTATTTTAATTACTAATTTATATTATTTCTAAATTGTATTTCTATATATGGATTCTAAACTTATCTTTCAATATTTTTTAATTCTGAATTTTAATTATTTTTAAATTCTATTTCTATATGGACTCTATAGTCTTCATCCAATATTTTTTTTAATTTCGAATTTTTTTTAATTTCTAAATTATATTTCTAGATGGACTCTAACCTCTACATTTATTTTTTCTTATTTTTTAATTCCGAATTTCCATTAGTTCTATTGTATACCGATATGAACTCTAGTCTTACCTTCCTATATTTCTTATTCTTAATTCCGAATTTCAGCTATTATTAAATTGTATTCCTATATGGACTTTGTTTTTTCTTTTTCTCCGATTAATGTGAGAATTTCTAGGCCATGAGAGCGAACGTGGAGGCTTCTTTTTCTATTCCTTTAATAATATAATAGATAGATAGATAATTAATATCAATTTAAATAAGAGAATAGTGATGAACACTTGTCAATTATGGTCTAGAAGGAGAAGGCACTGAAATTTTCTGTAACAGATATACATCTTAAAGGAAGAAGCAGCAACCTTTTCTACGATTGACAAAGCGCATGATTGTTTGTCCCATGATAAACTAACTCACAGAATACCAATTTACCTATTTTACTACATTGTCAGATTCCATATGCTCATGTACAGCAGCACAATGATTCATTTGATGCTCATATTCGGTTCTATAAATGGTAAATTTTCTTTGAGTAAAATATACGGCCGGTCCTTAAAGTTGAGCGCGGGTGTCACTTAGGTCCATAATCTTATAAATTGCACATCTAGGTCCACTATCTTGTTTAAGTGACTCATTAAGGTCCAAACCTAGTTTGACCGAAGCTGACCGTCTACGTTGCATTCCACGTAGACAGCTCATTTGCAAATAGCCCCTTCGCACTTCAGTAGAGCCCTGGGCACCAAAAAAATCCCCAAATCCCTCATCTGCCTCTGTCGTCACCTCGCCCACCGCCGCTGCACGTCATCCTCATCGCCAGCCCCTTCACCGGCCACGTCATACCGATGGCTGAGCTGATGCTGCGCCTCGTCGCGCACCACAGCTGCGCCGCCTCGCTTGTCACGTTCTCCGGCCTCGCCTCGCCAACATCAGTGTCCTCCGTCGCCGCTGTCGTGGACCTCGACGAAGCGTGGTTGAGACGGGTGGGTGCCGCAGGTGTGCGTGCTGGCGCACGTCGCCGTCGGCACGTTCCTGCGTGCGCCACGCGAAGAAGGGATTGGATCGGACACGGAGAATCAAAAAGGGGGGCAAAATACAATATGTTGCCACGCTGGACCGCCACGTAAGCCAGTCAACCCGGTTAGAGGTCCTTTAGACCTCAATGAGTCACTTAAACAAGATGGTGGAGCTAGATGTGCAATTTTCAAGATTATAGACCTAAGTGACACCCGCGCTCAACTTTAAAGACCGACCGTGTATTTTACTCATTTTCTTTTATAATAACTCCTATGACTATAATTGGTCTTTAGATTTCACATATTTCATTTTGCTGCTAAAAGCTAGACTGAATTGAAGAGCTGCAAATACAGAAATCCGTATGGATATACATCGGATTTGTTTACTCTTTCATCATACTCCAAACCCAACCTAATTCAATTTTTTTAACTCTGCGAAGTACACATGGTAGGATAACTTAGGTTCATACACTTTTGAAGTCAGAAATATTTTGTAGATCACTTTGTTAGATTTTACTACTCTCTGTCAGTATATGAGTTAGTTCCTCTCATCACCAAGCAGAGAGGATTTATAGGCTATCGTTTCCAATTTCGTACTGATAACAGTACTTGTGCTTATTACTTAAGATGGGCTCCACCCTATGCAGCGGTGGTTCTAAAAATTATTTATTAAGTTCTATGGTATTGTCAATTTTCAAATTTAAAGTATAATTTCATACCATATATTTTTACTCATATATACAAGGTTTTCATACGGGTATTTAATGTCGCGCAACGTGCGACTAAGTGGCTAGTTAATATGTATTGGAACAAGTTCCCATCTCTATTCAGATTTATAGTACTAATATGTGTCATATCTAGAATTGGTTCTTATATATGTATTCTCTGGAACAGAGGGAGTCCATATTTTCCCAATCATGTTAGACTCAACTTCTATCATAAACGACAACTCTAAACTAGCTGTGGGTTGAACGCCATTATTTGTTTATGACCATCGTAACTGAATGATCCTACAGAGAATATGTATACGCCTACAGCAAGGTATGATGATCTTTTAATTAGTGTGTGGGGGCTAAAAATTAAACATGTAAGCAATTCCAGTAATCATTGGAGTACAAAAATTACAAATACATTAATAGGTTACATTTCCAATCAAGCAACAGGCCAGATATGATGCATGGGCTTAATAATTAAGTACACACAAACTGTATAGCTGCTAATTAATTCCATATCCGATCCTTATTTAAGTAATGGACCAATTCAATATATGCAAATCCACATATAAATGTAGCTTGCAAGCAACATAGTACACAACATAGTACTCCACTATATATAAATAGTAGCAAGCAACAAGGAATCCATGCATGCATCCAACTAAACATAAAGGAGTAGTAGGAGAAGTTGCAATTTAGGAGGAACAAGACTACTAGGGAGTAACATGCAGCTGATGAATCATCATAATATATAGGAGTATAAAAGAAAAAAAAAAGAATTAAGGGGCTCGCATTTGGAGGAAGTCTTGGTCCTTGTCCAACCTCTGCATCGGCTCCGGCTGCAGCGAGAGCTCGACGTCGATGCCGCCGTCGCCGCCGCGGCCCGGGTAGAGGTAGACCATCCCGTCGAACTTGTTGTTGGCGCCGCTTCGCACCCGCTCCGGGCGGCCGAAGCCGAAGTCGACGTCGTACACCCTGAAGCGCGGCGAGCTGCCGACGGCGACGCAGTTGGGGCCGGCGTCGCTGTAGTGGAACAGCTTGGGCGCCGCCTCGTACTCCTCCAGCCTCCGGGTGATGGCGGCGGCGTCGTGGTCGTCGATGGCCTTCTGCAGCAGCCCCGCGGCGAGCTCGGGCGGGCCAGCGAGGAGCATCCCCGCGGGCACGCCGGTGAAGACGGCCTGGATGAGGTTGCCGAAGTAGGCGGGCGGGAGGGGCGGGCTGAGGCGGGCGCGGCAGTCGGCGAAGACGGCGAAGACGGTGATGTCGGAGGGGCCGAGGGCGCGGGCGCGGGAGACGGCGCGCCAGATGTGGGCGGCGAGCGACTGGAAGGAGGAGAAGGGCTTGGCGCCGGGGGGCAGGGCGGCGTTGGCGGCGGCCTTGGCGCGGGCCACGGCGGAGGGCGGGAAGGAGAAGACGCGGGCCACGAGGGGCACCTTGGGCCCATTGGGGTCGGTCTTCTCGTGCGCCTCGGCGGACGCCGGGAGCGGGAGGTTGACGCGGACGGAGCGCGCCATGCCGCGGTTGTGCACCGGCAGCAGCGACGGCGCGCCGCCGCCCCGGCAGAGCTCCGCCCATGACGTCATGAAGTGCCAGGTGGAGGTGCCGTCGAGGACGGCGTGGTTGAAGGCGCACCCCACTGCCACCCCGTCCCGCAGACGTGTCAACTGCATGCACCGCGTCAATTCCATCAGAGTACCTAATTAAATTTGTTTGTAATATATACTAGTACTCCGTATAGTAATAAATTTGGACAGTGTTGGTGGTTGGCTGGTTAATTAATCAGCCTGCACATACAGATACTGCAGGTAAGGCCCATTCCATTCCATGCCACCCTTCAATTTTCAGCTCATCAATACAATATTGTACCACCGTATGTACGTACTGCTACAGCTAGTAGTGTACTATGTACTATACAACTAATACTCATCAAAAGTACGTACGTGCATACATACCGTTCAGGTTTACGGTCTCCTAGAGACTAAAAAAAATACACAACACATATACTTACATACTGTACTAGATTAAAGTAGTTTAGTTCCAGAAGGAAATTAAAGTAAATTATGTGTGAATTAATTAAGTCCTGAGAAAAATGTCTAAATAATCATTATGTTGAGGCATCATATCAAAAGGATATATAAATAATTAAAATTGGAGAAATGTTAGTAATAAATAGTAATGTAGGTACCTGGACGGCGAGCAGCGGGCGGTTCAGGCCCTCGAGGTTCATGACGCCGGTGTAGGGGACGAGGAGCTGCATCACCTTCTCCGCCTCCTCCGAGCACTCCTCTCCGGCGAGTTGGTCGACGGAGACATGGTCGGCGGAGGCCTCGATGACCTCGGCGCCGTGTTGGCCGTGGATGGAGAGGGAGCCGTCGTGGTCGTCCTGGCGGATGCGGCCGGCGAGCGGGTAGAAGTAGGCGAGGGCGTCGGAGAGGGAGGCGGACATGCGGGCGACGGCGTCGGGGAAGTCGGAGGCGCCGTTGGGGAGGCGGTAGAGGAGCAGCTTCTGGTTGTAGTAGAAGGTGATGTAGGGGAGGTCGAATGTGGCGAGGACGCACTTGGCGGCGGCTGGGGCGACGGTGCGGGTGGAGGTGACGGTGACCACTGGCGACGGCGGGGCATTGTCGACGGCCGCCATTGTCGTCGTCGTTGATCGATACGATATATATGTGATTAGAGAGCTGATCAGAGTGTGAGCGAGTGAAGAGGTAGCTAGAGGAAGGCGGGGTTGATATAGACGAAGAGGTGGATGTGATGTGCTCCAGAGGAGAGGAGAGGAGAAGAGGATCGAGTAGAAGCTAGCTAGCTGATGGTATGGTAGGGGAGAGATGGATCGATCGAGACGATGGATCGGAATTGAAGGCGGAGCAGTGTCGGGGAGGTGGCGCATTTAGTGATGGCCATGAATGCGTTGCGTTGCTTGCAATTGCAAGCGGCGCCGGCCGGGCGACGGTGAAAAACTTTACTCCTCCTCCACTACTCTACAACTACACGGTCAGTGGAGTATACATGAGCCGTTGGGAGATGAGTTGGCCGGCCTGCCATTAATGCCCGCTCCCTAGCTTCCTCCCTCCTCCTTATTCGATATGATCTGCATGCTTAATTTGGTAGCTCCCACTTCCCGTGTCCGCATGCATCAGCAGCACATATATATCATGCACCTTTTATATATATACGCGTTAATTAATAATTTGATAGCTACAAACTAATTAAGCATATGCATCTAGCTACCTAGCCACTTAATATGATCTCCACAGTTCGTCCTCCTACGTGCTACCTCCGTCCGTAAAAAAAAAAATCCAGGTCAAAGATAGAATTGGATTTTTTTTTCTTATGGAGAGAGTATATATCAGAGAAAGTTTTGTAGTGAAGATGGATAATACCTCTAATTTAAAACATATCATATGTCATATATTTATACACCAAAATCAAAGATAATTTAAATCGCATCAATCAAGAAATCATGCACACATTCCTCCACAATACATGCATCGATTAAAACATCATAACAATTACACCCTAGCATGTACATATTCTTCCATGCTGCATTAATTTTATTCCGATGAAATCCTGTGCCCATGTGGTTATATAATGATCAATTTGAAAAAAATTGAATTACATTATATGATGACCGATTTGGAAAATATGGAGTAACTAAGTACTCCACAACATATCACCTCTAAACACAAATCCCGATATTCTTTCTTTTATTAGTTCACTCTCATGTCATCTTATATTTTTCTTAGAGATTATGTAGATGTTATTCCTTACGTAAGAGATAACATCGTCTCCTAACTTACATTCAAGGCTCATACTATCTCTTCTCCACCTAATTCTAGATGGCAGAGTTCGAGGAAACATAAGTCTTACAATATACTTGCTCTTAAACTCTGAACACTACCAGGACATTATTATCACTCTATCAGTGTATTTCTTCTTTCCTTCTCTCTGCAGTGGCAAGTCTCAACTCCGATCCGGCACAGCCTCATGCGTAGGAAACCTAATGGTCAATTTAATTCAATAGGTGAAGTCAATTTTAATTTTACATGCGTACCCAGTACATGCAAGTTAGTGGATAAGGAGTAGAAAACGATGACACACATCAATCGCCATTGTTTTGACATTTTCGCGCGCAAAGACTTTATATATATATATATATATCTTACAAATTAATATATGTTAAATCCATTTGTCAATCTGTATAGTATTTAATTATTGTTTTTGCATTTAAATAATTATACAATTCATTTCGCTATTCAGCACAAAAAGAATCAACAGTGTAGTGTAGTAGTACTGGTCCATGCATGGACGTATGGAGTGATTGCAGCCGTCCATTGCAGCAGAGCTCACTTAACTGCATGCATAAATGGATGAGAGTACAATCGTGTGCCTGTGGCTGTGTTTAGTTCACACTAAAATTGAAAGTTTTGTTAAAATTGGAACGATGTGACGGAAAAGTCGGAAGTTTGTGTGTAAGAAAGTTTTGATGTGATGGAAAAGTTAGAAGTTTGAAGAAAAACTTTGGAACTAAACACGGTGACAATTAACTGGAGTAAATTGGGGTGATTGGGTGAACATATATAGTGATCGAGATTTGCAGCTATATAAAGCACTGTACCGATATCAAATCGTGCTAACTAGCTAGCTTAGTACTATACTACGTACGTACGAATCATCTGAATATATATATATATATATATATATATATATATATATATATATATATATATATATATATATATATATATATATATATATATTTATTTATTTATTTATTTATTTATTCATCAGCTAGTTGTAAACTACTCGTTGTTGGGTCCTTGCTGGGGTTGGTTGCTCACTGTAGATCACACTGTACCGATCGATCGAGCTGTGCTTATTTTGGAGGTTGAAGTCGAAATAGTACTATACGTACGTATGGTTAATTATACAGATCGATCTGGTCGAGATGCATGACACAGGTTCAAAACCTTCAATTCAATTCGTTCAGTATATATATACTCGATCTGCATATACATATATGCGCTCAATTTCTTTCTTTTGTTATTGATGTCGAATCAGTCAGAAAATAATTAAGCTTGGAATTACTAATGGAGTGGCATTAGTATACGTATAAGCGCGTAGGGCCTATATATACATGGATAGATGGATATATGTTATATAAAGGAGACCGCGTGGAGTAAAAGGATCGGAGCTGGCAGCTCATATATAGCTAGGCTCCATGTATCATTCATGGTTAGCTTTTAATTTCTTTCTTCGATATAAATACTCCGATCCGTTCACATGAATGCATTCTGACATTACTATTGGCATCTAATCTAAGGGTTTCTTTAATTTTGCTCACACCTGAATTTTGGACGTCACATTTTAGCATCGCAAAAATTTCTTAGTCACATCGATCGATCTGTGTTTATTAGCATGGCGCGCGCAAATTTCTTAACATTGTACTTGTTCTACGTGTTATATATATAATCAGATTCTTAGCATTTTTTTTTGTGGCGTGCCACATTTTTGCTAAAGTTGGACGTGATCTAGTACAGTGGTAGTATCATGTCATATCATGTGGCTTCTCTATATGGATCATGGTCAGAATTGAAAGAGTAGGGAGCAATCAGAGCAGAAAATTTAGGGAATTAATTGCCGTCGGTCAGGACTCAAGCGACAGCATAAGTGCATTATTTTAAGTATCAGCATAGGGAGTACCCTACGTGTTATGCATTGCGTGTAGCCCGTCCTTGTACAAACTGGGCGGCCAGTAGCTAGCTAGTTAGTACAGTACGTACATAGTAGGAGTTACATATGCACTGCTGTACATGTACATATGTATGGAGTATGTTGTGCTCCCTCCGTCCCGTAAAAATTCAACTAGACGTGATACATCTTATTATTACGAATCTGGATATACCTTTATTCAGATTCATTGTACTAGAATATATCATATCCAGTTATTTTTTTTTGACAGAGGGAGTATGTATGTACATTACTCGCACATACATTATTAGATGATCTATCGATCTATCTCATCCGATCAAGGGTGCAAGTGATCAGCCCTGTAAATCCACTTATAATCATTACTGGAGAAACCATCTTTGGTCGGTCGCCCAAAATCCACAATAGTTTTTAGTTCCGGTTATAAAAATTTTCATCTTTAGTCCCGGTTCATGGCGTGTCAGAGGCATGTTAGAGGGCCAAGGATCTTTAGTCCCGGTTGATACTACCAGCCCGGACTAAAAATTACCACTTTAGTCCGAGTAAAAATTATTTAGATCTTTAATCCCGGATTAAAAATCTATCTTTAGTCCCGGTTGTAGTTTACAACCGGGAGTAAATATTTCTCTCCCATATCTGATCGGTTAAGTCCCAGACGAGACTTTCTCCTCACCGAAATATTTAGATAAGATCGGATCATCACCTCTCCTCCTATCCCTCAAATCTACTTCCTCCTTCTCCCCTCCCCTCTCCTTCTCCCCCCTCCTCCCCTTCCTCCTCCTCCTCCCTCCTCCTCACATCCGGCGGCCGGCAGGGCCACGCACGGGGCGGCAGGCGTTTTTTTTTTTAATTTGTGATTAACATATGTATAATTTCTTTTTTTTTAGAATTTGTGATTCATTGCATGATCTGAGATGTATAATCGATCTGTGATGCATTTGATTTGTGTGTATTTTTTTAAGATTTGTGATGTATTTGATTTGTGTGTAAATAACTTAGGATTTGTATTTGTGATGTGAATGATTTAGGATGTTACTTTGATTTGGGGATTTGGGTATATGCATGGTACTCGATTTAGGTATTTGGTGTTTGATTTGGGTATATACATCCCACTCGATTTGGGAGAAAAAAAAGGACCAACCGGGGTTGCCCCTATCCTCTCTTTAATCCCGATTCTAACACCAACCGGGACTAAAGATCAATCTTTACTCGATTATTTCACCCGGGATTAAGATATAGCGATCTTTAGTCTCGGATTTATAGTCCCGGTTTCTAACCAGGACTATAGGGGGTTAAAAATCGGGAGTAAAGACGGTTTCTCTACCAGTGAAAATATAAATAAACAGGTAATTTGGCTGTTACCCGTTTATTTGTATTATAAGTGGGTTCGCGTATATGATTTTCTGCACCGCTGCATCCGATCGATGATAGATATATATACGTAGAATTACCTGCGTTGAGGTGGCACCTGCGTTGAGTGTCGCCGGCTGGCTGTTGGAGGCCTTGCTCTCGTACGTACTCCCCATGTCCAAATTAAAAAATAACCAACCTATGTATCCTATCCACCTAGATTTTTTTTTATGAGACGGAGAAAAATATGTCTTCCAACGACCGATATATATATATATATATATATATATATATATATATATATATATATATATATATATATATATATATATATATGTACATATGTATACCGCAGCAACGCACGAGGTTTCTCTCGTTATTGTGAATAAGTTGTTCGCTACTTTATTTAGGTTTCCAGAGAAATGTTTGCTAATTAGCCACCCAGATGTAAAAAAAATTGATTTGATTTGATTGAATGATCATTGATTAATCGCAGACCGTGGGCTGAGGTGAAGCATGGTACAATGCCTTATGGGCTATGGCTGGCAAAAATGGGCTTGCAGTTCTTCAAAACATGGGCTTTAATTTGGTTTGGGCTACCACTTGAGTCGTCGTGTTCGCTGGCCGCCGCGCGCACAGCAAGATGATACACTCGATCACTCTGCTTGCAATTCGATCCTCTGCTCTGATAGTGTGATAGATGATGATGTTGTTCTACTTATTACTCTCTCCATTTTACAATATAATTTATTCGTATTTTCCACATCCATATTGATGTTAATAAATATAGATATATATGTCTAGATTCATTAACATCAATATAAATATAGAAAATGCTAGAATAACTTACACTATGAAATGGAGGAAGTAGTACACAATACTACTATAATATTCCCATCAAATTACAGACTTCGTGAATGACGTTGGCTAGTTCAAAACGTCAAACATTTCATAATGCAAGATAGTATTTTTCCACTCTGCTTAAATCAAATACTAGCTAGTACTCGCTCCCTCCGTTTCTAAATATTTGACACCGTTAACTTTTTAGCACATATTTAACCGTTCGTCTTATTTAAAAACTTTTAAGAAGTATATAAAACTATATGTATATATATAAGTATATTTAACGATGAATCAAATGATAGGAAAAGAATTAATAATTACTTAATTTTTTTTAAATAAAACGAACGGTCAAACATATTTAGAAAAATAAACGGTATTGAATATTTAGAAATAGATGGAGTATTTTATAGACAATTCCACACCGATAGACGACAGTGCAGGAATGTCCAAATCCACACTGGATCGGTCTGATATAAATATTGTTCATCAACATCTCTCTTTCTTGGCGAGGAGAAAGATTCTTTTTTCCCCCCTTGAATGAAAAAGAAATGAACAACACATCATCATCAGCATGAATAATGAGTTGTTTTCTAAACCAAAAATTGATTATTACTCTTGTTTAATTTGTGTTTCTCAATTATTGGAGTATCATATAAAAAGAGGTAATAGTAAGTATAGGTATTATTATTCGGTTATATTAGGATGAGTTTGAACTTTGAAGTGCAGGGATAGGCGTGGTGTGGTTGGATGAATAAAATGAAAATGGAATTAATTAATAGTCGTCGTCGTAGCCGCCGGCGGCGTAGTCGTCGTCTCTGTCGAGATCGTCCTCCACCTTCTCCGCCACGCCCTCCTCGAACTTGTCCTCCAGGTAGCTCGCGCCGCCGGCCAGCGCCAGCCCTCCCAGCACGCCCGCCGCCGCGCCCACCGCCAGCCCTGTCCCCATCCCCATCTTGCTCTTCTTCTTCGTCTCCTCCACAACCACCGGCGCCCCACCTGCTGCACCGTACGCCGCCACAGGAGGCGCGCCGCCGTACGCTGGCTGTGGCGGCGCCCCGTAGGCGCTCGGGTACCCTGCCGGCGGCGCCGCGTACCCGCCTGAGCCGTAGCCACCACCGTACGGGTACTGCCCGCCTGAGCCGGAGCTGTAGGCCGGAGGCGGGGCGCCATAGGGGTCGCGTGTTCCGGCGGGTTGGCCGTAGGGAGCCGGGTAGGGCGAGGGGTCGTAGTAGCGCGCGGACTCGCGGACGGCGAGGCGGAGGTCGAGGCGTCCCTGGGGGCGGCCGGAGGGGCGCTTGAGGCGGAGGGAGCGGGAGACGCGGGCGCCTACGCCGGCGTCGTCGAGGACGTCGCGGAGCGGGAGGCGGGCGGAGCCGACGAGCGGCTTGACGCCCTCGGCGGCGTTGGCGTGGACGACGTCGAGGTAGAGGAGGGCGTCGTCGAGGCGGGAGGAGGGGGGGAGAGGGAGGGTGAGCTTGTCGTCCCAGTTGGGGTTGTCGGCGTTGTCGAGGTCGACGCGGGTGGAGCACTTGGCGCCGTCGTCGACCCAGAGCACGGCGTAGGGCTTGAGGTCGCCGTTGCGCCAGTTGACGTTCTTGAGGTCCCGCGCCGACGACACCGTCACCTCCACCTCGTACCGCGACCCCATCCTCCGATCACTCGATCTACTACTCTCTGCTTGCTTGCTTCCTAGCTATTCGATCACCTGCCCTGATAGTGTGTGTGATAGATGATGATGATGTTGTTGTTGTTCTACTCTTGTCAAGAAGAGTAAAAGAGTGAGTAATGAATGAGATGAGGAGGGAGAAGTAGAAGGGGTATTAATAGTAGAGGAGAAGCTATCATCATCATCTTGGTCTTTGGAAGGGTTGGATGGATGGATCGTTGGTCACTTTCTTCTACGACTTGCTTCCTTCCTTCCTTCGTCACTTCAGTTTTATCTTAGCAGCTAAGCACCCCGGTGATACTGATACAAGACGTACGAGATGAGAGCGAGCTCTGTTTGTAGCAAGCAATTTCTAGATTGTTCCAGATATTTACTCCTACAATTACTAGTATTACTATTACAACTACTATTACTCAGATATCGCAGGGCATTCTTGACTTGGGTGGAGAAGAGAAGACCTACAACATGACCGTGTGATTCCCGCCACATGGAAGGGAAAGCGACCTTACATTTGTTGAGCACTTGCCCACTTGATCCCATCCACTTTGAACAACTCCTTTCTTTAGCCACACGCACGCACGCACACGGTCTGGACGCGTCGTCTACCCTCCCCATCCAACCCAAAAAATCAAGGGAAAGTCTAGCCCGTCTCGCGCACGCCGGTCCGTTCACTCCCTCCAACCACCGTCCCCATGCTATCTAGGATAAGAACGCTATAGCCTCCCAAACCCATTTCCACAGTACGACCAAGATAATAATGTCCTGACCAATCAAATCATCTGCCCTTAGGCAAATAAGGGCGCTAGTACCATACTCCTACTATGCCACTCAAATTGTAGATCACCAGGCTGGCTGTTGTTAAGCAAACTCTAGCATCAGGAACCAATTTGAGAGTCCCATATAAGCTTCACCTCCACTAAATATAAATGCTAAGCATCTCTTCTCTTCCCTTGCCACTAGAATCAGATGCTCAACTGACTGCCAGCTTAAGCATCACACACCTATTACACGCCCCCACCCCACCCCAACACCAACTGTTAGTATTACTGTTACTATGATGAAACAAATATCAGCTGCATCACTAGAGTCGCGCATGGTCACAATCCAAGCATCGGTCGACAAAATCAACCCATGCCTACCAAGTACCAACACGGCAAGGGCAATAAACAAATACTGCAAGAAACTCTATCAGTCCAGTTATTCCAGATAGAGCCATCGCGTAAGAAAGAATTGCATTACTTTTGGGGTCTGCGATACTATAAGCAACAGAGTTTTGTACCAGTCTAAAAGCAGCCTTCTTTTACTCTTGCCACATAAACATATTCAGTTTAACTACACTTTTAGCACCCTGTGTGGATGTCATGTGATGAGAGGCAGGACCGACTGACTTGTTCACTCACGGGATTATTCAAGCTGCCAGGCTCTTTGAAGCTATCTCGTACACATTCTCTGATAGCCCATTGGCTGACACGATCATCTCCAGCTGAGCCTGTTGTACAACAAAGGAACATCAACATGTTTAGACCAAAGCAATGTGATCATCCGGTGTTACAACAACATACATACCTTAGCAAGAGCTTGTCTGCTCTCATCATATCGCCTCCACCGAGAGAAAGCTGACACCATGCGGGAGGCCACCTACATTTTCAGTCCAGCAAAAAACCACAATCAGACGGTGATAGGCAAACTAGTGTTTGTTCATTCATTTAGCACGTGAAACAGAACCTGAGGATTTATCTTGTCTAGCTGTAAAACAACTTCACCCAAGAACTTGTAACCAGAGCCATCTTTTGCATGGAAATTCACAGGGGACCCACAAAATCCTCCAATTAGCGAATACACCTGCATTTTTAGTATGTTTTCTGTAAGGTCCTGAACTATGTACTCAAAAAATTTGAAGGAAAAGAATCACATACCTTGTTCGGATTCCTCATGTCAAAAGCAGGGTGACCAAGTAACTTTTGAACGTTAGCAACATTTCCAGGGATGTCTGATGTAGCTTGAAGAGCAAACCACTTGCTTACAACCTATTTGAGAAGAAAGACAAGTATGGGCTCCGATGTAAAAAGAAAATTACTGTGCTACTCTGGCATAGATGAATAGCACTTATGTATAAGAATGACACATATAAGCAGCAAGCATCTTACCAAATAATCATGCTGCCATTTGTTATAGAAGTCCAGAAGGGTGTCATCACGAACTTGGCCTGGATTTTGAGACAATGCTGCTAGTGCAGCAAACTGCTCCGTCATGTTAGTAGCAGACTTGTATTCAACAAATGCAAGTTCAGTGGTGTCCGGTTCATTCAGAGATGCAAGATAAGCTGAAAAACAAAACCAGGAAAATATATTTGAAACCACAGTGTATGGAACAAAATTTCCATGTTAAAATGCTAGATGGAAAGACATACCAAGGCATGTGTTTTTCAATGCACGGCGGGCCATGCTATCATGGTTAAATGTATAAGCTTCAGAACTTCTGTTATTTGTCACCTGATGAAATAGACATAAATGTAAGTAAAAGACAAGCTCTCTCACACACAAAAATCCCACCCTTTTGAGTATTCAATAATAAGCAAACAAAAAGCGAAAAAGGTACAACCGCCCTGGTTACGTTTTCAGCATGTTTACTAGGCACAAGAGTGGAACTTATATCACCTTGAAAAACAATTACTACACCAAAGCACATTAGACAGTAACCACATCTACAGACAATAGCTTGGTGCCACTTACTGTTGAAAGAAGGTCATCTTTGAGTTGAAGGGCAAGCTCCTTCTTAATAAAGGTACGGACAGCATGAACTGCATCAGGATCTGCAACTGGCATCATATCCATAATCTCCCCTTGACCCGGCAAAGTTATCGCTTTCGCAATGAATTCCTAAAAGAACACATGTTAGACATTTTACAGTTGAATTCCGTATGATAAAATCATAGTAGCATCAGAAAAAAAAAATACTTTATCCAAGCTTGTGTTCCGCAGGATTGATCTAAGTCCATCAACAAATTTAGGGTTCAGGGCCAGTGTTTTCTGTTGCTGGAAGTCAGCTACAAGACTGAGCATCAGTTTACGTGACAGCACCTGACCAGCTTCCCACCTAAGGAATGCAAGAATTCTCAGATTAAAAATCTCCAATAAAAGAGAAGATGACTTAAAACAGGAAACAGAGAGCAACCTGTTAAATTCATCCGAATCATTGGCAAGTAGGAAAAACAAGTCACTCTCAGTCAGATCAGAATCAAGACGAACAGGAGCACTGTATCCCCTCAACAAGGAAGGCACTGGTTTCTCAGGTATGTTGTTAAATATGAATTCTTCCTCCTTCTGAAAGATGAAAAAAATGTCTCATTCAGCCATTTTGAAGATCAGACAAGAACATGTAATGTCTGAACGCGAATATAAAAATTGCAGGTTGATGTCTTTACACATCTCAACCACGTGATCCTGACTAAGGCACAATTCTTAGTACTTTCTATAAAAATCAAAGTATAGCAAGAGTTCAAAATGATAATCTCACAAATGACTTAATTGCATGGCATGCAAGGTTCATAATCCAAAGAAATCAACTTGTGGCCCTGAAGTTGCCATTGAAGAGGAATTTTTGACTGGAAAATAATCAGTTCTTATACCTTATTAAATTGAAGAACAGTAGTGAAGACTGGCTGGCCATCACTAGTGAGTGATTGGAGCATCCCATCACTGTAAATGGAAGTTAGGGGCATATCCTTTCCGGTAGAATCAACAAGTCCGACAGCAATAGGAATGAACATCGGCTCTTTAACTGGTTGGCCAGGGGTAGGTGGCACTTCTTGACTAAGATATTTAAAAGGACGGAAGGAATTAGTTGAAAATATTCTAATTTCACAAATTATCTATAGAAGGCAGAAAAGGAAGAAGCAAAATATCTATAATCCGTGGATTAAAAACATGAACGGAAAATCAAGCAATACAGAAAAAGAATCATAAACTGGGTTAACTCTTTAAGTGAAAGTAACTAAAAACTTGGTAGTGTAGAAGCTCACCTAAATTTCAGAGAAAATGTCTGAGAACTTGCATCGTATGAAGAGCTCACTTTAACAGTTGGAGTACCTGCCTGAGAGTACCTATTGCATGGTTGTTTTAAGATCAGATTGTGCTTGCAACATGTGCATCGTTGAAAGATAGATGTCTAGTACCATTGTAAAAAGTTTGGCAGCTGGGTGTTATTTGCATCACACATTGCAGCATAAAAGTCTTCACAAGTCACAGCTTGCCCGTCGTGCCTTTGGAAGTAAAGATCCATGCCCTGTGCAGGAGATACAAACTGTTAACTAAACAGAACGAGCAGATAACACACGTTTGATAACTGAAGAAAAGAGACAGATCTCATGAAGATTCTCATTCTTTGGTGCTTCCTTTTTTTTTTGCCAAAAGATAACAAAGCAATCGGTTTTCTCATTTCTTTTATTTTCATATATTTAAGCCCACAGCACCACCATGGGAGAAAAGAAATCATCATCATGCTTTCTGCATTTAACTTTTACCTTTCGAAACCCTGAAGCTCCAAACATGGTCTTGTACATTCTAACAACTTCAGCACCCTACAAGTACATATCCACAAATTACATCCCACTGGGGTTAGGGGTCAAAAGTGAATAAGAAAACATTGGATCAAACGAACCTTTTCATAAACCTGTGATGAAATCCCATAATCATTGGATGAAAAAGTAGAAAGCAGCAAAAGAAAATGTCAGAACGTTCCAGGATTTCTTTAGACAAAAGAATTCCCATACAACTTTATTGAAAGCTAATTGAACAGAACAGAAAACATACCGTTACTGCCAGGTTTTTCACGTTCAAATCACCACACAAGATTCAACAAATAATAAGGTTGGAGGTTCACCAGGGCATAAAATGATTGAAAATAATTAGCTAATGATGTAGTACTTCTCATTAGATGCACATCATACTTCACAGACAGAGCAACTCACCGGTATAAAAATTGTCCATCTGCCAGTAAAATTAGAAGAATTAATATCAGATCTGTATGGTGGCTAAAAATCACAAAGTAGTTACAATAACTGACAGTTAAGTATTGTCACCTTGATATACGAATGCGGACGAATAGGATGCGCCATAGGGCCAGCATCCTGGATATCAGGGAGGAAAGTAATGATTTAAAACAAGAAAACAAATGTAACTGCCATCAAACCAATTAGAATCCAGTACTAGTGAAGGGAAATTTAAAGAAACACAACCTGTGGAAATTGATAGGTCCTGAGTTTAGAAACATCGGCTATACGTTTTACTGTGCGACAACCAAGATCTGATGAGAATTCCTGCAGATTCAATTTATTAACAGAGCACGATAAAACCCAAACATTGCAGCAAATCACTAAAAGCCTATTTCATGAGTACCTGATCCCGGAATACAGTCAATCCTTCTTTCAGAGTGAGCTGGAACCAATCACGACAAGTCACTCTGCAACAAGATATTCATCAGGATATATTCTGTCCTAACTAGTACTAATCATGACGAATCTCATGACACAGAGGACAGTTGAAAGGATGCCTCTTCTTTTGGAGGATTCTAAACTAACTGAAGCTCGTGAGATCAATAAAAATAGTATAACTAATGAAAAAACACGAGCAAAGATGCAATTGGCAACAAATCAACCAAACACATCATGTTTTAGAAGTTGAAATTTAATTATTAGATGTAACCAGTACGGTGAAGTCGTTAAGATATTTACCTATTACCAGTCCAGTTGTGGAAATACTGCAAAAATAAAGTGAAAGATAAGTTAGTATCAACAGGAATTCATGATCAGAAAGAATATAGTGAGTGAAAATCGATCATTTCTGATAATGTACCTCATGTCCAACGACACCTAAAATTGCAGCATAATCCCCATCAGTAGCTGTCTCTGGTGATGCCAGCACAAGTCTAGATTGAAATATCTGTTCATTGATATAACAGGAATCAGTGTTGTTTCATGTTTTAAGTATTTTGTAACCACAGAGAGATTCTTACGTTTAAGCTCTTGTTCTCCATTGCTCCCCTGCAAAACAACACAAAAGTTTATTAGTACGAGTGTTGTTAGAGAGATAAGGTAGATCTGATCTGCTATTTAACCAACACAGGAGATTTAGTGAGAACAATCTGTAGTAGAAAAATAAATACCACTGGAAGAACAACTGTACCAACAAAACAAAACACAAAGTCCTAGGTCTTGGAGACTGAACAAAATTGCAGCATGACAATGTAATAAGAGAGAAGGCTTACATATTGAAATCTGGAACAACAACAATATTGAACAAATCAAGATCATATTCAAGGCCAAAAACCTGGCACGAATCCAAAGGTAGAATTGTATTAGTAATCTGATTAATAAATTGTGTTAGTGATACGACGAAGAATTGCACAAAAACATAGGAGAATGAATCGGGACCAACCTCCTCATCCCACTTCATAGCTGCTTTAAGAGAATACATAGCATGCGCTGTCTTTGCTAAATCTTGACCAGGAGTCCAAATTCTAAGTGTTACTTTTCGGCCAGAACATGTAGTAAATGAGTCCTCCCTGCAATCCAACTGACCAGCAACTAAAGCAAATAAGTAGCTTGGTTTCTTGAAGGGGTCTTCCCACAATGCATAATGCTTGCCACCCTACAGTTAGGAAGATGCATATTCTTAGACATGGTATTCACTGATTACCACTTTGTCAGTTCTGACAATTGAGTTACAGAGATACTGTACCTCAAGATCCCCCTGCTCTATAAGATTCCCATTGGACAACAGTACTGGATACAACGTCTTATCAGCTTCGATACGGCAAGTATATGTTGCCATAACATCTGGACGATCCTGTAACAATATTACCATTTCCAGAATACAAGTCATTTCAGGATCTTTGATAGATATGTTTTTTTGCAAGTAGATAACACATAGATTCAATACAGGATGTCCTACATTCATATACAATAGAGAAGATTATCATGGTTGCCTGTGGATCATAGCTAACTAAGAGGATGAGATACCTGAAAGTATGTAATCTTCCGGAACCCTTCTGCTTCACACTGGGTGCAAAAATTGCCAGTTGACTTGTAAAGTCCCTGTAAATTTACTGAAAATTAGAACAGGAAACCATAGCTTGTATTTTTTTTATCTGGATTGAATTCTTATCTAGTGCATATTATGTTCCTTCAAGAACCAAATCAGTATATACCTCCAATGATGTATTTAGCTGAGGATATATTTCTGTAACAATTTCCAAGTTGAATGTACCACCAGGTGGTCTTGAAACAGTCAAATGGCGTGAATCAACCATATAATCTTCACTCTAGAATTCAGTACACATTAAAAATTCAGAAAGACAACATACATAGTAAATCATGACGAGCTGAAGAAACATTTTCAATAGAAAGAACATGCTTATGAAATGAAGCTGGCTTACTATAACTAAACATGTTTGCAAGTTGAGCTCAGCAGTAAAACAGGCTTGTATCATACCTAGATATGTGCGTATAGAAGTGGCATGCAATCTGAATGCCAAAGGTAATATATGATTTTCTATAATATACATAAATCAGGAAAATTTGAGGTGTAATTTTGAAGCTCATGAGGAATATAAACCTAAGTACTAGTTTTTTTAATATATAGAAGGCCACAGTTGCTATGGCCTATGACCACACTTGGACATAATAAACCTCCATCCCTGACCAAGACAAACAGATCCTACATAACAAAAGGAAAAAAAGTAGCATGGAACTAATGTTACCACCTTAAGGTCCTTGCCATTGACTTTGATTGATAGCAGCTTCAGATCACGCCCATGAAGAGTAAGTGGAGAGGAGGTACCTGATACAATTATTAAAAAGAATTAATAAGGAAGTACAGACTACAGAGCCTCATTTTAAGCACGATAAGCTAAGGAAAGAAATTGAGAAACAAACAAGTACACGAGAGATCTAAAGACATGCAATGAGAAACCAAATGGTAATTCCAACGATGTATAAAAGTGCGTGTTCGGCTAAGTCAAATGGATATGAAAGGGTGTGTGTTACCTTCAGTTCCTGGAGATACAGCTATTTTAGATGTAACTATTGTTTTGTCTTCGCCAAGTTGAAATTCCAAATTGACCTGCCCAAAATTAAGTCCCAGCATAAAGTCAGGAAGGTAGTAAAGACAACAAACAGAAAGGAGCCCATTATGTTCATTAAATGCCAAGATGCCCATACAGGCTAGCATATATATCTAGTTAAATTTCAGATTGCAAACAGCTAAGTATCCATAGATATGGTGTTAGAAAGCCTGCAAGCCGGAGTTCAGATATTGAAAATTTTGGATGGTTGCAAAAAAAGAGAGGTATGTAGTTACCGAGTCAAATAAGTAATCAGGCTTTTTGTATTCTTTCAGGAATATCTCCTTTGGAAGATCCATCTCTGGTTCTTCGGTTGTGGAAGGCGGCGGCTCGGTTGCAACGGAACAAGTTGTCCTCTTGCTGGCAAGCCTTGCACTCTGAAATATCGGGAAATTGTCCGATCAAGATGTACTCTACAGAAGTAAAAACATGGAGTTAATGAAGAAAAGTAACATATAAGCGAGATGATACAGACATATAGCGACAAGGAAGGCGTGGCTGGTCTTGTCCAATGCGAGACCTACAACAATACAAACTAGAATCTATAAGCAACAGCAGCAATGCCATGCAACAAAAGCTATAACTGGGTGGGTGGCATGAGATTATCATCTGAGAGCAAGAGGGAGGCACACACCTCCTTCCTTAAATTAGGAAGGTAGCAATTCTTCAGTTGGGAACTCCTATGCGATGATGACAATGGCAGGCGATGATACTGGTATAAACACGGAATAGAATTGGGGGGAAGAAACAGTGAGGAGAAGCACAGTAGATGTATCATCTGTGTTAGACGCATCGACACATATATAAACCTTAATAATACTAGTACAAACAATATTCCAGCACACTAGGAGAATCTATATCGAAACCTATGTCTGTATGAATAATGTATAAAGAAATTGCAGAGGAGAGGAGGGCAAGGGTTTGAGCATGGAATGTGAGTGAGGTGCCTGGTTAAGTGGAGGATGGGGAAGGGAGGGAGGGAGAGGGGGATAGTGGAATCACATGGTGGGAGGAGAAGACGCCGAGAAATCCGGCGTTAAGCAAACCAGAGCCTTGGCAGGGGCTAATCAAACGGCGAGCCATTCCCAAATCCTAAGCGATTCACCCACCCTACGACAGATGAAGCAAGCAGACCCTAGCATCAGCAGCAGCATCATCTCTCAGAGCAGCAAAATCATCATCATCATCATGGTGGTTCAAATCAAACGCAAACGCAACGCCATATAGATTGATTCGATTAGATATTCAGATTTGATGGATGGATCCCTACACGACCGCGAAGAAGGATCGAAGAGAAGAAAGAGCAGGGAGGGATGGGCGTCGTTACCTCGTCGCGTCCCCGCGAGCGAGCGATCGATCGATCGGAGCAGTTCGCCGGAGGCTGAAACTCCGACCAAGTAGAATCTGCAACTTGCGTTGTTGGATGGATGGATGGATAAAGTAGTTCAGTTGGAGAGGTTGGAGGATATATAGTGGAGTAATTTTCTAATCTTAGAGGGGCTCTTTTCCAATTGTCCTCCTTATCTCTACTGTTTCGATTGAGTGGTTTCGTGTTTTTCCACCTCGATGACATGCGGGGACCACCTGTCGGCGCCACGGACCCTCTCTTTTTCTTTCTCATCATCAATCAAAAGATAATATACTAACTGTATGGGCCCACCTGCCGGTGGGAGACATAAAAATATCTTCCTCTTTAATTCTCGCTCCACTTTTATTCTTCGACAAAACTAATTAAAGAAAAAGAAAAGCAATCGATTTTTGTGGTGCTGTTAGTTGCTGAAACTTGCACACAAGATATGCTAGTTCTAACGTCGCCCAAGGCAATTAATAGTCAGAAAAATACCGCAGTTTCAATCTTAATTAATGAGTTGTATTGACATTCTTTTTTGGGTCACCTTAACGATTCACCCAAAGCCTAGTGTTGTATGCAGAACGGAAACAAATCCACAAAAGAGTTACTGCAAATACGGATGACACAACGCAAACTGATAAAGACAGGTGAACTAGATCAAAATGATAAGTTCGGTTATCTCAGCAATCCCAACTTACTATATGTATTTGGACAGAGAAATCTATCGAGACAACTGACAAAATAAGTCGTGCTTTCTTTTGGAAAGGTGAAAAATCCATTAAAGGAGGATTAGGGATCAAGGACTTAAGGACACATAACACAGCATTAATTTTAAAGCTAGAAGATAAGGTGCTCGCAGGCCCGAATGATCCAATCGCTAATTGGTTTAGAGAGAGGTATATGCAAAACACATTACAATTACATCCCAGAACCAGTGATACACCGACTTGGAAACTCATTCTATCACAATTCCAGACCCTATGCTCTACAACACAGGTAAAACTCGGAAATGGCAGAACAACTCTGATTTGGAAGGATAAATGGCTGCATCAACGTCTGGAATTTGCTTACCCAGTTTTATACTCATTTGCTTTGCATAAGGATTGCACAGTTCAATCACAATTCAGACAAAATTCCTAGCAAATACAGCTCCATCCTAGCCTTTCCTACCAAGCAAAATCAGAACTACACGCACTGCTGCAAATCTTGCAAAATCTCTGCCCCATCCCAGAGAAAACAGACACAAAGAGAATTCTTGTATACTGCACCCAAAGTCTCAGCAGCAAATGCCTATCGCTTGCTGACATACCATGGATCCATTTGGAAACCAGCAGATTATATATGGATCCACACCATACCACAAAATTGTAAGATTTTTCTTTGGCTAGCATTCAAAGACAGACTAAACACCAAATCCAATATGGTCAGCAAAAACTGGAATGAAGATCCCCACAGCTCCTTGTGCCCCTGCACTAGAATCAGCAGATCACATCCTCCTAAGATGCAACAATGCCAATAACCTCCGGGAAAAATTGAACTTACTGCAGCTGGCCAACAAATCCGAATCAAGCTCGGCCTTCCTACAAGCAGTCATAGACATGAATCACTCATCAAAGGGAATAGAACCAATTTGGTTTGCTGCTTGCGCTTACACGCTGTGAAAATCTCGCAACAACATAGTGTTTGAGGGACAATTTGACAACCCACAATGCATCACGCAGCAAATTTCAGACACCCTAAAACTTTGGAGCCTGAGAACCAATGAGGCAAACAGACAAAGAAATTCACACATGGTGTGCGAGGATTTCCTAGAGAAGCCTCATGTATATCCCCTTGTAAATCCGCCCCTCTAGTTTCCTTTTCCTTTTGTCTTCTTTCTTTTTCTCCATAGTCTCTCCTCTCTCTGTATCACTTCTATCTGCTTCCCAGTTAACTCTAACCTTTAACTTGTAACCTGTAAACCTCATTTCTCTTAATGAAATGACTATAAGGTAGAGCAAGCTCTACCTTCTTGCGTCAAAAAAAAGATCAAAATGTAGATGTGAAATTGAAAGAAACAATCATCAACATCTTACACATATGCGGTGCTCAGTCCTGCATCTAGCTTTGACTAGTTCAGATGAACATCGGCCGGATAAGTCGATCTTAGGCAGCCGGCAATTCATTCAGATTCATTGTAAACCAAGGAATCATCATTGTCATTACTGCATCTAAACAATTGCAATTTGATCTGTTGTATTCTTGTTTGTAATAATAAATAGAAGAGGGAGGGAAGAACCCCAAATCCCCAATAGCGTACAATGTTAATAAATTGTGACCCAGTAGCGTATACAAAAATCGTACAATTGAAGAATACAGAGCTGCCTGGTACATGCAGGATAAGAATTGAATTTGGAGTCCAACTTCGTATCTGCTCTGCGCAGGGGGAAAAGAAAAAGAGAAACAGGGTATGCATATGCTAATCTCTGTCTGAATGATCTCCTTGTAAGAGAGGTTTGGTTTCATCTGTGCCTCCCCACTTGTGCACACGAGCTGAAGCTTGCGCAGCCTGAAATTATATGTACATTAATCGGCAACAGCAATGGTATATCATGATGAGCAACTCTCTTTATTTTTCCATTTAAAATGAAAACGAAAATGTAATAATACTATATATTACCTCTGCCTTCCAGTCTGTTCTCCAGACTACAAAGAGTAGAATGAGTGTTTGAAGTGCAACTCCACAGAGCATGCCACCCCAAACCCCCTGCAGCCAATTTAATTTTAATTTTTTTCTGTGATCAATTATATATAATTTCGCAGTACATATGCATAGTACTCCATTATATTAGTGGAAAAAAGAAAAGAGAAGGAAGGTAGGTAGGAATAGGAATAGGAATGGGTACCCCGACTCCGAGGTTGAAGTAGTAACCGAGAAGGTAGCCGACGGGGAGGCCAAAGAGGTAGTAGCAGGCGAGGTTGATGTAGGCGACGAGGCCCTGCCATCCGCCGCCGACGGCCACACCGGACAGCACCGGCTGCACGCTGTTGAGCACCATGGTGACCCCGAGCAGGCCAGCGATCCTGGAGACGGCGCGGAGCAGGTGGGCGTCGCTGGTGTAGACGAGCGCCAGCTTGTCGCTGAAGGCGAGCACGAGCGCCATGCAGAGGAGGCCGATGAGCAGCGACTCCGCCACCACCACCACCACGGCGTGCATGGCCGCCCTGGGCCTCCCGGAGCCCAGCTCGTTGGACACCCGGACGCTGATGGCCGCGTTGAGGCCGATGAAGATCATGCCCTCGTAGCCGTTGATGTTCATGCAGATCCCCAGCGAGTCGACCGCCATCTGGGCGTCGTCCAGGTCCCCCGTGAGGACGGTGATGAGGCCCAGGTACCATATCTCGAGGCACAGCATCACCGCCGACTCGATGGACAGGCGGAGGAAGGCGGCCAGGTCGTGGAACGCCGCCATGGACCACCCGCGCCACCCCTCCCTGCACCACCCCATTATGTAGGCCACCTGCGCCAGCGACGACGCCCACTGCGACACGTCGTACGCCGCCGCCGCGCCCGGGAGCCCCCACCCCAGCACCGACACCGCGAGGTAGGTGATGCCCACGTGGAACGCCAGCCCCGCCACGCCGATCCATGCCAGCACCCCCACCTTGCTCTGCGCCTGGAGGAACTTGCCCGACGGGAAGTTCACGGCGAAGGCGAAGGCGCCCGGGAGGATGTAGAGCGTGAACCGCCCCGCCGCGCGCGCCACCTCCGGGTCCTGCCCCACCAGCAGGAGCAGCGGCTCGGCCAGCACGTACACGGGGACCATCAGGACCGTGGCGCCGAGAAGGATGATCCAGGATCGCTGGAGGTAGACGCCCAGCATGGACACCTGCCCGGCTCCGAACGCCTGCCCGCACAGCGTCTCCAGGGCGCTGCCCATGCCCAGGAGGAAGCCGAGGGCGAAGGTGGCGAACACGGAGAGGCCCACGGAGGCGGCGGCGAGGGGGAGGTTTCCGAGGTGGCCGATGAACATGGTGGTCACGGAGCTGATGGCGTAGTTGGTGATGGTGCCGATGGCGATGGGGGTGCCGATGGCCCACAGCCGCTTTGTCTCATGCCAGAACATGCGCGCCGCCGCCCCGGCCGACTCCACGGCGGCCGCGTCCTCCTCCGGCGCTGGTGGTGACACGGAGCCCATGGTTGATTGGTTGGAGAGCAGCAGCAGCAGATCTCTCCCTGGTCTGGTCAAATGTGTGGCGAAGGCGCGTCATTTATTTGGGGAGTTGCGCCGGTCCATTTCACAATGAATGCGTATGACTTTTTTTCTGCTTGGATTTTGGATTTTGCTTGGAGTAGGTACCAGCTACCCGCACGCACGCCGCTATCCTCCTCGTGACACACCTCCATTTCAGTTTCCATGCCTTCCCTTTATTAAATTAACGGAGCACGGAGTACTTATCAATCAGAGCAGATACAATAGCAGTCTATAAACCAACTATAAATATATTTTAAATAGATAAAAGAAGAAAGAGAAAAGCAGCGGACTACAGATCTGTAGCTAGCTGCAATATGGACTCTAAAAGTAATGTGTGTATGATAGATGAGACTAGGTATTAAGGCCAGTCACAATGGCTAGTGTCATTGCACGGCTACCCAAAATATTATACCATCTTCTCTCAAATGAAATCTTTTATGAAACAATCCCCACAGTGGAGGGGTTTCACTTTGACGTTTCCAAGACTAAGCAAAGCATTTAATTGATACAAGTTGCTGGGATCATTTGTACCCAAAATCCGGCGCGGCGCGGGAGAATGCGGAGGTCGCACGGCGGAGGCGGACGCAAGAGATCCGGTGAATGAAACGAATCGGCCTCAACGGGGGTTTCACTCTGTTACCGAGGACTTGGAAACGACGCTGACGAGTTTCACCAGGATGAAACTCTTTCCTTCTCTCTCATCCCCATTTCATGCAAATAATCATTTTTTATTCAGTCTTACCCCTATTAAATGTGCATGACACACCAGTGAAACCCCCATTGTGACTGGCCTAATAGTAAATGAAACAACTATTTTATAAATCGACTATTACGTTGGCTAGGTGATTTAGAGCTAGTAGCTAGTTATACTATTAAACTTCCTCTTAGATGCAACCAATGTAGTACTAGAGAGAATTAATACCTGTAACTGTAACGATTAAAAAAAGAAAGAAATTAAAAAAGGATCGGGGCAAAACAAAACCGTCATTTCTAGTATGGCTGTACTAGGATCGTCATTCGAGCCATTATTTTTCTCTCTATATTTTTCGTAATTTATGAACAAAAAAATAAATAAATTCGTACTCCAGTCCGTGTCAGCGAGTGGTACAGCTGAGTAAAGGGAGTGGGTGGACTGTGCGGTGCAAACAGCTACCACGTCTTCACGTATTATAGGCTCCTACTGGGCTTTCTTTCTTTCTGTTGGGCTTGAATCCTCCCTCCAACACGAATCGCAATCGCGCGAGGCATTGTACATCGGAATAAGTCCATTTTTACTCCCTTAAAATTGACCCAATCAATCTTGACACATAAACTGTTAAAACCGGTGCAATTTGACTCCCTCGACGGTTTTGGTGAGCGGTTTCGCTGACGTGGCATGTTATGTGGCGATGTTGACCCGTCTTCGTCCTATGAGGCGTTGACGTGGCGCTTACTTGTAATTAGAATTAAAAAAAATATGTGGGCTCACTTATCATTCACAAACACACAAAATTGTGGGACCCACTGACAGGTGGGACCTACATGTCAGTCTATCCCTTCATCATCCTCCCGACCTCCCCGTTCCATGCCCCATGCCGCCGTCGTCAGAGCAGCCAGCTCTCTAGCATCGAGAACACCGGCGCGGGCCCGGCGCCACCGGTGGCCATCTTGCTCGTCTCCGTCGAGCCCTCCAGCGTCTGGGCAATTGCCGTGGCGGCGGTGGCGGCTGTCGTCACCGCTCTGGCTCGCGCTCTGGCTCGCCGACGGGGACGCCGCGCCCTCGCCGGAGCACTGTAGCTGATGCTGCATCGTCGCCATCGTGGAGGTCGACCCCAACGCCTCGGGGCCTCGCGAGCGCCGCGCACTAGGAGTGGCAGACGCGGCGTGAGTGGAGGCGATCGATCTCGCACGGGATCCGGCGGTAGTGCTCGCGCAAGACTTTGTCTGGGAGTTGCGCCCATCCCCGAGGCCGTTGATCAGCCGCCATTGGAGGAGACGGGAAAGGATTGGATGGAGATTGGAGGTTAGCAGCGTACTCTGGGGCGAATTGAAAGGGAAATGGCATGACAGGTCGATGTGAGAAGACAATGTGCTACTGTATATTTTTTTTAGATAATGGAATATAATATTCCGGCCTTTACTCAAAAGAGCTACAGCCAATTATTACATAGTAGTTTTCATAAACATAGTGTAAATCTAAATAAATAGAACACACCGAAGATCACTATTATTGAAACCAGCCTAACGTAAGGAGATCACAATTATTGAAGTCTATTTGTAAATCTCCAACCATAATTGGCAAATAGTTGTATAACCGTGGTCTCCAACTTTCGGCATGCAACCTTCAGAAACTCTTCATCTTCATCACACCTTTGTAGTTGTGCCCAAAACCGGAGCCAATGAGTTGCCCTGAAAATAACCTACATATAGGAAAATGATGGTGATTTGTCAAAAACCATATCGTTCCTACTCAGCCATATTGCCCAACAAATAGCAGAAGCTCCAACAAGTATCAGTTTACTCATTTTCTTATCAACTCCCAAAAGCCACCCATTAAAAATATGAGATATGCTAACTGAAAGATTAAAACCAAAAGAGAACTGAACTGCTCTCCATAGAAATTTCGCAAAATGAACTGCTCTCCATAGAAATTTCGCAAAATGATAATCCATAAAGAGATGTTGAATAGACTCATTCTTCAAACAAAAAGAACACCTCAAGCTGCCATTCCAGTTACGCCTTGCCAAATTATCCTTAGTTAACACAACCCCTTTAAGCAGGTACCACATGAAAATTTTAATCTTAAGTGGCAACTTAAGCTTCCAAATACACTTGTTTCTTTCGATATAGCCATTATTAATTAAAGCTAGGTACATAGACCTCACCGAGAACAAGCCATTCTGATGGAAATTCCATCTAAAACTATCAGACGAATCATTCAACTGAATATGTACTATAGAGGCACACAACTGATGCCAACAAACAAGATTCTGACCAACTAAAGCTCTCCTGAAAGAAACATTAAGCGGAACATATCCCATAACAGTGGCAATAGAAGATGTTTTCCTCGGAACAATTGCGTACAAAGATGGATATTTATCCTTAAAAGCCAAGTTACCAATCCATCTATCTTCCCAAAATCTGATTTGTTCCCCATTATTGACAATCCAAGAACCCATATTTAAGAAAGTACTTTTGACATTCATAAGACCAGACCAAAAATGAGAATCACCTTGTTTCCTGTCAACTTAGGTTATAGATTTATTATAAAGATATTTCCTCTTCAATAAATCATGCCAAACCCCATCCTCATTAATTAACTTAAACAACCATTTACTTAAAAGACATTTATTTTGTATCTCCAAATTATGAATCCCAAGACCCCCCTGGTCCTTGGGTTGACAAACAACATCCCACCTAGTGAGCCTGTATTTTTTCTTATGGTCATCCCCTTGCCAAAAAAAACCGCGATCTATAATAATCAATTTTACAAAGAACCCCTTTCGGCACCTCAAAAAAAGATATCATAAACATGGCTAAACTTGAGAGAACAGAATTAATCAACACTAGTCTACCACCAACAGATAAATGCTTGCCTTTCCAACTACTAAGCTTTTTCTCAATTCTCTCTTCAATAAGTTTCCAATCTTTATTAGAAAGCTTCCTAAAATGCATCGGAATTCCAAGGTATTTAAAAGGAAAGGTACCTAACTTACAACCAAAAATATCAGAATAGTGTTCATAACATTCCTTTGCCTGACCAAAGCAAAATAATTCACTCTTGTGAAAATTTATTTTTAGGCCAGATAACTTTTCAAATATCGATAAAATCAGTTTCAAATTCTTTGCCTGTTGCAAGTCATGCTCCAAAAAGATAATAGTATCATCTGCGTATTGCAAGATAAACACACCATCATCAACAAGATGAGGAATAACCCCATTCAAGAGTCCCGCCTCTTTATCCCTCTTAATCAATAGAGTAACCATATCAGCTACTATATTAAAAAGAATAGGGGATAAAGGATCCCCTTGCCTAAGTCCTTTGTAAGTTTGAAAACAATTACCACTTTGATCGTTAACTTTTATACCAACATGACCACCTTGAACAAAAGAAGCTATCCATTCACACCATCTAGGAGAAAAGCCTTTCATTCTCAAAGTTTGTTGTACAAAAGTCCATTTAACTTTATCATAAGCTTTCTCAAAATCAATCTTAAAAATTACACCACTTTTATCTTTGCGATGTAATTCATGTAAAGTCTCATGTAAAATAACCACCCCTTCCATAATATTTCTCCTAGGAATAAACACAGTTTGAGTAGGACTAATTATCTTTTGAGCGACATCCATTATTCTATTTGTAGCAACTTTGGTAAAAATCTTAAAGCTAACATTAAGTAGGCATATAGGTCTATACTGTTGAATCTTTAAAGCCTCAGCACACTTAGGCAAAAGAATGATAGTACCAAAGTTAAGCGAATATAAAGGCAAACTCCCAGAATGAAAGTCCTTAAATAGCTCTAAAAGGTAAAATTTAATGACATTCCAGAAAACTTGGTAAAACTCAGCAGGAAATCCATCTGGGCCCGGAGTTTTGTTATGTTCCATTTGGAAAATAGCATCCTTAACCTCATTTTCAGAAAATTCCTTAGTTAAGGCTTCATTCTCTAAATATGAAACTTGAGGAATGTCAGCAACATAATTCTCATCAAATTGAAGGTCAGACTCATCAGGAGGGCCAAAAAGACCTTTATAATAAGTGGTAATATGCGACTTTAAATTGGCATCACCACTTATTAAATGATCACCCTCCTGTAATTGATAAATTCTAGTTTTCCTATGTTTTCCATTTGCCACTAAATGAAAATACTTTGTATTAGAGTCACCCTCTAAAATATCCTTAGTCTTAGCCCGCTGATACCATTTAATTTCTTCTTCCCTTAGAATGACAGATAACCTACTCCTGAAAAACCATCTAATATCAACTTCCTCTTGAGACAGGAGAACAGTCTCTGCCTTTTTATCCAGCGCCTC